CCCCGCCCTTCTGGCCACCCTTCTTTCCTTTTTCCTTCCCCTTGCCGTCTCCCTTATTCCCTTTGCCTTTCTGAGATTCACTAAATGCTTGTCTTGCCTTCTGAGAACCAGGCTCTCCAACATGCAAGAGTTTACAAGCTTCACCAAATCTGCAAAAACCAGCAGCATGATAAGAGCAGACCCATTTTTCTCCCTTGCTGCCCTCACTGCTCTGTGCTGGAAGTGCTGATGGTCCGGCCTGTTTCTCCTGACTCTCTTTCTCTCCCTTTCTTGTTTTTCTTTGTTTTCTTGTTCCGATCTGCTTTGTCCGTGGGATGCTCACTGCTTGGCTTGCTCTCAGAGTTGCCCTTGTTTGTCTGGGCGGAACTAGCACGAGGGTTATCGGCTTGGCCAGCAGCTAAACCATAAGGCGGAGCCTGTGGGCCCGTCTTCAACCCTTTCGTCAAGTTCTCGTAGTTCGAGTCCTCACGACGCTCCTTCAGCTCATCATGGATGGCATCCCAGAGCCATTGAAATGAGCGTCTAAGCGAGCTACTCGAGGAATCCCGAACTTTGTTTGTGATCCTTGACAAACATGGAACTCTTTTGACTTCATGCCATAACCAATGGAACATTGTAGCATCGCTCGGACGATCGTCTACCTTTAGTCCATTCCTAATATACCGTGCCTTGCTGATGAACGCCTGAACATTACTCCAAGAGTTTCCTTCAAGCTTCAATTCCAGCAAATGCATCTGGCCAAGTGCAACCCCGCTGGCGCCTACCGAGAAATGCTGATACAACAAATTCAACAGAGGTGCGCCTTTCGGCCCTTGCCCACGAAGTGCACATGATTCGACATAGGAACTGAACTCAGCAGCCAACTCGGTGTTTGTTGCCAGAACATCAGTTTGGATGAGCTCTGCTGCAACATGCTTATTGAACCGAGTGAACACAACCGAATTATGCAATGCTTCACGGAACCTTTTCCCCCGACCCCCTTCAAAACAGTGCGACACATACTTGGCGAGCACATCACCATCGGTAGTGTCTATGCGAGACACGGAGGCAATAAAAGCACTACGCCATTCCCGGCATGTGGTGGAGTCAACAGGCAACTTTGTAACTTTAACAAGCCTCAAGTTCTTTTCCTTGTAAACCCCATCTTCATTACCGGAATATACGTCCCAGGCCCCATGCACTGTTCCCTGAATGGATACAGAAGCGGAACTACTGGGTGGCTTCCTACTCTTGCTCCCTCGCACATCACTGTCACTACTTGAGCTGGATTCGGGTCCGGAACTAGATTCATGCACACTTTCGTCCCCGTCATCATCGGCAAACCCTCCATCAACCGGGTCCACGCCCGAAGATTTTGTGACCTTTGCCGAACCCCCGTCCGTGGCCTCCCCGCGCCGTACGGCAGCGGGGTCGCGCCTTGCGGCTGCGTCGCGCCTTCCGGCAGCGTGAGCACCACGTCCTGAGGTGGATGACTGACCAGCATGTGCACTTGAGTCCGCGTCATTATGGCTTCCGGCAAGGAGGTCATACTTAGGGCTCACAGCAGGGGTGCCCCTGGAACCTTGTTCTGGAACACGACTCCTTTGCACCGACTCATTGAGACTTTGGATGAGAACCTCTGCTTGTGCAAGCTTTTCTGACAACTCCCTGATCGCATGATCTCTTTGCTCAATCTCTTGCCTCGCAACGTTTAGGCTTTGCTCCCGATCGCGAAGGGCATGATCCGCACTATTTAGCATCTGATCCCTCACACCTATTTCATGGGCAGCATGGTTCTGTGCTTGATGAATGGAGGCATCCCTGTCTTGCTGAGCACTGTGAATCACACTGAATGCTTCTTGCCTCAAAGATTCACGTTGTGCTGTCAAGGCTGCTTCCACCCTAGCATTAACAAGTGCCTCGATCTGATCGGGGTCATATGTCAACACTGCTGTCTGGTTAAGCACATTTTGCTGATACGTCCTACCGTCGTTGAAGGTGGCTTCCACGGTATTATGCTGTTGCGGGGCGTTCAAAACATTGGTCTGAGAAACACCAAGCATAGCAGGCGACTGTGGAGGCGGCATCAACTCTGGGGTTTGCATCTGCCCAGTAGGCGATGGGGTCAACTGCAACGAATCACGATTTGGATCATTTCCTTGGCTCGGAGTCAATTGCAACGCGACATGATTGGGATCATCCTGCATGAGGCCACTAGAATCTGAACTGGAAGGCTGACTTGGTGATGCACCTATGGGAGTTGCTGACATCCCTGCACGAATGTCCCTCCGGCTATCTCGAGACCGATCGGACATCTTTTCACCTTCCCACGGATCTACTGGCTTGCCTGTGACCACAGCTCCTTCCTCTGCGATGGCTTCGGATGCGTGTTGCTACACTGCTGATGCGAAAGCTTCCGTGTCAGGACCTTAATCTGCAACTCCACGTCCTTTGAAGTGGTTACAAGAACACCCCACGGCGCAGCTTCTGCTGGAAGTCCGGCCTGCTCCCACCTCCCTTTCAATTCAGAAAGGATGGTCTCCTGATCGTCAATCAGGCACAGGCCGCCAGAATCCAAAAACTGCTGAGCCTTGGTTCTCGTGTCCACCCCCTTACGTGTGATAGCAGAAAATTGCCAGGATTTTCGCCTTGAGAAATGAACCTCAAGATCAGCAACTGGTGATGCCGCAATCTTGTCCCTGGTATCTCTCAATCGAGTGTCTGAACCGACAAAGGAGAATATGTGCACGTCTGCGACCCGCTGCAAGGCTTTGACGGCGTTTGCGATCTCAGGGGAGACCTCGTTGTCTCGCTCCAAAGTCTGATGCCAATCGATGCCAACTAGGGGCCGCTCCGCCTCTGCGTCTGTCGTCTCCGGCGCCTCGGTCGGTAAATACGTCGCCTGGCCAGTGTTTGCCAACGCACGCTCCTTCTGCTGCAGAAAAATCTGTGGTACTTGTGTCCTGGATGTAGAAAACTGTACGCTGTGCGATCTTGTTTTCTATATACCTCCCACTGCCAATCGTCACCGTGTTCTGCAGCACTCTGAGCAATGCTCTCAATGAAGCCTCTGATCTCAACCGGTGGCTCGGGCACAAAACCGCCCGTCGAGTGCTTCGGTGCTGGTGTCGATGAAGCTGATGCCGGCGCCGGTACAGGCTTCCTGGTCGAATGACTCGCCTCTGTCTCAGCTGTGAGTTCTTTGGCCGACCCGATATTCAAGCACTCCAAAAAGTACCAGTGATATTCGTTCTCCGGCAACAGAAAACCAAACTTCTGTGGATCCTGTTCCTTTCGAATCTGCCGAATATAATTGGGTCGCTGCCCCTCAGAAACACGCAGGACAAACAGCGCTGTCTTTTCGATGACTCCACGAATGCCTTCTGGTATCGGATGTGGTGCCCGGCTCGTAGAAGATCCCGCCTGGTCTTCCGCCTTCACCCCCTGATCAGATTCCTCGATCTCTACCACCTCCTGATCAGATTCCTCGATCTCTACCACCTCCTCCTCTTCCCAAACAGCTGGCTCTGGAGGTGCGCGTCTGGACTCCGTTTGTCGCCAAGGCGCTGTCCTGATAGCTATGTCTGAGTCCCGAGGAGCCATGTCGATCGATGGCCCACGATGTGATGCTGCAGACGTCCGCGGCCTGCTCTGCGCTTGCTGCGATGGACGATTCGGGTTCCCGGCCCTCTTGCCTCTCGTCCTAGGCAACCCGTTCTCCCGGAAACGCTTGTCGCGCTGCTCCTCCGATTGCATATAAATCGGGGATCCCCAAGAGCTCGTCGACTATACCCCCCCCAAGTGCTGCTCACTCAAGATCAAGTAGTCGCTCCAAGCTGCAAGTGGTTGTACTTTTCCTGAAGCTCGTCAACTGAACCCAATAAAACCAGGTGCGCCTGCTGCTGTTCACCCAATATCAAGTTGTCGACTTAAGCTGCAAGGAATAAGCCGTTGCGATACGGCTGATAACCAAAAGAATCCGCCGCCTGAACCCAGTTGTGCAATCCGTGCAAGCAACTGTCAAGTGACAGATTCCAGTGTATGCTATGGCAACCACAAACGAGGAACACTTAAGGGATTCGACCCGCCCCCGCCCACGGACTTTTGCCTTGAGCCAAATGTAATGATGCAAACAGTTCAGGCTAGGAATGGAAACCTATGGCACTGCGATTCCGGGGCACATGATCACACTGTAGAGTATGGTCCAAATGACCATTTGAGTTGATGTTATTCTTCTCACCCCTGCCAGAATTATCTCAGCTTTTGCCCGCAAATAAGATGCCTTTGATTCTGGCCCATATTTAGCGAACATTTACAAGTAAAACACACTCAGCAGGGGGATCAGCCCCTCCCCCAATTTCATATTTTGGGTGGGGGGGCCTGTGGTTGTTCTAAATCAGACAGTGACAATCGTGACATTCGACCCAGTTCTGATTGGCAGTGGCTAGTTTGGACCCAGGCAGCCGCAAATGGCAGTGGAGTGGATAATCACAACCAAGAGTTTGCAAATAACACAACGAAGAGCAAACAAGCTTCCACCCAAACAATCAAACAGACAGGCAAACAAACGAACAAACAAACAAACAGACAGACAGACAGACCCACACACAAACAATCAAACAAAGAGACAGACATGACAGACAGACAAACAAACAAACAAATAGACCAGACAAGGTCATCTAGCACCGCTCCGCCGGGAGTTTGTGTTCCATGGATCGCGCTAGGGCGCTAGAAGCATGCAGGAGTTCCTGTCCCTCTCCCCAAATCAGCGAGCCACTTCGCACCTTGGCAATCAACCTTTCGGGAATAAATCGCTTTGGGATTCCTTTTAAAGGAAACCACAGGGACGGTTTCCGGAGGTCATTTTTTCATTCCCCGCCAAGACCTAGCAATGGGCAATGGCTTAATTGATCCATGGAATGAGCAGCTTTGGCGGACGAGGATTGGAGTGGAGACTCTTTGGTCAGCGGTCACCGGCGGCATTCGGCTACATAACAGCTCGCGTCAATCAAGGGCCCCGCGTACTCAAGTACTCGTTTCCCTCCACCAGGCCGACCTTGGCAAGAACGCCGCGATCCGGCGAGCCAAGGAGCAAGCAAGTGAGCAACTAGCCAACCGAACAACTTGCTGAGAAAACACATGACACATTCCTTGAAATCATTGCCATCAACTTCTTGAGAAGCTCAGGGCCTGTGTAATCAGAACGCGACCGGCTGCCAATAGGTCATGACCGGTTTCGTTTGCAGGGCGTGACGAGCAAAAATTGGACTTTGCGCCCAAAGGCACATAGCATGAGGCAAAGTTGCCCGGGACCCGAAAAGGAAAGAATGCCTATGTCAACGTGGGCCTGACGGTATTTAATGCCCCAAGGACTCAGTCCATATTGCAGGAAAGGCACGCATAGACTAGAACACAAACATGGGCAAAAGCAGGCACTGTTTCACATTCAGGCATTCGCACACCTGGGTGGATTGCTGGATCATGATGTGTACTCCTCTCTCTGGAAAGGGAACAGGACAAGGCAACCACATCTTTTTCCACTATCCCAACAACACTGGTGAATCGCACATCTGTCCCTGGAGCTGCCTGTCACTGGCAAACTAGGGCCTTGGTCAGCGGAACGAACCTTGTCAGCGAACAGTTGTCGCTTCTGTTTCAAGAACGCAAACAACTTAACGTGCGCGCCACGAAACATGTTCAGGCTTGTAACACGGCTTGTACCTCCTAAGAAGGCACTTTTACCCCTTCCAACCCCAACAAACCATCCTGACAGGGTACCAAGGGATCCTGCCACATGGCCATGGGTCAAAATCCCGTACCCCCAGTGAACATCCCAATCCCCAGGTTCTAAAATGGCTGGTGAATGCACCCAATCCAACCAAAATGGTTGATCCCAAAACGGCTTTGACAGCCACGGCCACATGGCTCTTTCGCCCACTCCCGCTTTTCGATCGCGGCCTGCTTCACCGTCTGACGGCGCGCCTGCAAGAACACGGAGTTCACCAGGAGCTGACCATCCTCAGCCTAAGGCTCCCAGGACCGGATCTGATGTAAAAAAAATCGATGGGCGCGAGAAAAAAACAAAAACGGAGTCACCTTGAATTGACAGGAAGCCAAGCGGAAAAAAAAAGAAAGAGCAAAATTCCCAGAGGGTCTCTTGGTACCTCCTGAGGATGGCTTCTGGGGGGTAAAAAGGGGTCGTTCAGTACCTTGTTAGAAGGTACTGTACTCTGGGATGGCGGGTGTCCCCCCCCAATTTGGCACACGTAACTGGTGTGGCAGATCATTCGCCAATCCAAAATAAGATAAGGAGTTGAGGTATGATGGCAAGGCCGCCATCCGTGCTGCGAGATCACTAGGGGGGTTGATCAACTTGTTGCAGTCAAACACCAGTCCTTTTCCAAGCACTTCCCTTCAATCATGGGTAGTCGCCAAATGGGGTGAAGTCAAACATCCCACAGGATTGGTGCCTACAATTGTTCAACAGGTGAATAGGAGCTTAGCTTTCACCTAAAGACTCAGCATTTCCCCGCAAGGCAAAACCACATGTGGGCTGAACAAATGGTCCGCTGGTTTGAAGGGTGATCCAGGGCCGCGTGGGCATTGGCGTGGGAATCGTTTGCAAGCTTTCCGTCCGGGAATCAACTCACTTTCTGAGTTGATGGGCCAACAACAGTCCAAGCTGTGTATTCACCAAAGTTGAAAGTCCATGAGCCCAGGAAGTGAGTCGATGTTTGATCCTTTGCGGTTGTCTGAGAGCCTGTCTGTGTGCACCAGCTGCATTTCCATGTCGAAGCCTCAGAACCCGCGCGGAGGCGAGGCAACAGCAGGTTCGCAATGAATCGCACAAACTCGGAGGTTTGGGGGTTTGGGGGTTTGGGGGTGTGACCTGGGAAGCAAATGGACACAAAACAATTCCCCAGAGGGTCCCTTGGTACCTTCTAAGGAGGTACTGCACGACCCCTTTTTACCCCCCCAGAAGCCATCCTCAGGAGGTACCAAGGGACCCTCTGGGTTCACGTCATCGCCGGTACATCTCCGCAAGGTAAGAGCATGGGCCCATGAGGGCACTTTTTGCTCCCAGAAAGCGTGGCAGAAAACGCTCAGCCGAAACACGTAGCAGTTGTCATAATAGGAAATGGACATGCATGCGGTTTACCTGTCCAGAACAAGCTGACTTATCAGATGCGAGAGTCGATGGTCCCCATATGCTTCAGGGGATGAGTGGTAATCCCTAATCAGTAGGCTAATGCAAATAGAGACAACTGCTCACAACGCAGGAGTGCGCAACTACATTGAACTTTTAAGCAATATCAATCGATCAGCATCTAAAGCTCACTACGGCATTGAGCAAGTCACCAAACGCGGATAATTCACAGCAGCTCTTTTGCATGTGCGAACAACAATACTGCCTGACTTATGAAGGTCAACACGTCTCCACCGCATCCAGCCAATGTTCTTCTTTGGGGTTGCTGTCACATCCATCCGGGTTGTCAACATCCATGTTGACCTGAACGTGCACACACACACACACAAGAACGAAACCTCTCATAGTGCCAAGGCAAATCGTCGCTCTAATTTGCGGGAATTCATGTTCTACGCCGTCGCGGCGCAACATGGACGGCCAGCTGATATTCGAAGGTCGGCAATTTACCGTTCTGATCTGAATCCATCGCAAACAATGCCTGGCCAAATTCTTGCCCTCCCCCATCCAGGAGTTTGGAACAAGTTGTTCAGCCCTAACATCCCTTGGCAAGATGCACCAAAGGTTTGGAGGTGCTGCCGGGTGGTTTCCCAAAGTTCCTCCGCCGGGCGTTTGTTTTTTTTTTGCGGGCCCTGGCATCCTGGCAACAGAGACTCGACCCAAGCGACACCAGTGCCAACTATGTCCAACCTAACTGACCTCACAGGACACTTGTGGAGGGATAGGGATAGACCACGTGCCAACTGGTGCAGGCTTCTGTCTAAGGACCCCAACCGGCCACCAAGCCAACACAACCAAACCACTGGAATCAAAACCAAGTAGGGGAAGGCTAAAATCATGGTAATAATCTCCCTGATCCGGATTCCCTGACATGGACAAGAATTTGGACCGTTGGCCATGCATTCCAACAAAACGACCCCCTGGAATGACTAGTGGTGTAGGGATACAGTTTAGGTCCTTCTACTATGCATGTTGTCCAACCTAACTGACCTACCCAAACAATCCATGTAAGTAATATCTACCCACTACCCACATTTCCCCCCCCCCAAACAAAGAATAAAAATGAGTCACTACGTTTGTGTGTAATTGTGTATACATATATATATATATATTACCTACAATGTAGATAACATATATTATATTACCTACAATGTAGGTAACATATATTATATATAATACACAAACGTATTCACTCATCTTTATTTTGTTACATGGATGTCTGACCCGCCCTGCTTCAAATACTCCGCGATTGGAACTCAATCAATCTCTCAGGCGCAGGCTCTGGCCGCCAAGAGAATTTTCGGAGGGCGAGTTGAACTCGATCCTCCTCCTCAGTGGTTCTAGGGCTTCATGCCGTGGCCATTCTTTTCAGCCACCGTCCTTTTAAAAAACCGATCGCCATTTCCCCAGGGTTTTTGAGGGTTTTCTAGAAAGAAGGATCCCTAGAAATAATGGGGAAGTTGCCCCGAGAGTGATGAATGAGTCGAGCACCACGCCCCGCGCGCGGGCGAAAAAAACCATTAAACACAATAACAAAAAAAAAGGAGAAAAAAAAAAAAAAAAAACGAAAACACGCATTTGATGCTGTTCAGTGCTTCCTCCTGAAATCCGTACCTCTAGGTGTTACCTGATCGTTTCCCCTGGAAGGACGGGGGGGGGTTCAAGTGAACCTCGTCGATAAAAAAAACAAAAAAATAAAAAACGACACCAGCCGCTCGTTCTTGGGGGGTCCTGGGGGCTTCTTGGGGGCCCCTAAAACCTCCTGGGGTCAAAACGGAGCTATCAGCTGGGCTCAGTGGAGCTGGGAGACTGGAGAAAGGGCTGGAAGAATGAAGCTGCGGCCTGGTGAGTCTGGAAAAGTTTGGGAGGCTTTTTGGCACAACACAGCCTTCACCATGAGTGGGAGGATTGGGAGTCTGGAGACTGGCCTGGCCACTGGAGAGCTGGAAAAAACATCTGGACTGGAATAGACTGGACTGGAAAGCTTGGACTGGAGGAGGCCGGGCTGACTGGGAAATTGGACTGGGGTGGACTAGTGGACTGAACTGGACTGGGGCGGGGCTGGGTGGACTGGTCTGGAGTTGGCGGGGGCTGGGCTTGGAGTGGGGAGAGTGGATTGGAGGAAAGCTGAAGTGGATTGGGAGACTGGAATTGGACTGGGGTAAAAACTTGGGATGGGGAATTTGGACTGGGGTTTGAGACTGTGGACTGGTGGACCTGGACTGGACTGGACGTGGGGACGTGTCCCATTTACCCGCGCAAGGCTTCATTTCCCAAAAATACCGCCATGAATCCAAACTACCAACGAAGGTGAACCTAGCGGTCTGCCAACAAAAGTGTCAATGGTCAGTGCAGCCTCAAGTCTTCTATGCATTTGGTGAGATAACAAACGCGCCAAACATTGTACTGCTTTCTAGATGACGGTGATTTGTGCGTGTTGCTCATATCCCCGCACTCACCAGTTGCAGCTGAAGAGACCTTCGAATCAGCCTGATCAAATCTCAAGCTCGTATTTGCTGGGCTCAGCTGACACAAACTGCAAGCACATGAGCCAAGTCAACAAACAACAAAAACAATGCGGCTCATGTGCTCATGGGAAATGGCAACGATATTGCCATTTGCCATGATATGAGCACATGAGATCGTGAGATGGCAAATGGCAACGATTCTCACATTACGACGACACATGCTGCGTTGCCTCGGTGGGCAACCGTGGGGCACCCAGTGTAGTGCAAGAGCACTTCGCCAGGGAATGGATCTCTAGGAATGTTGCTGGGATCTCTATTGAAAGAGGCATCCATCGGGTTCGATGTAATCACACCCAAATGACTGGCTTGGAGCACTTGCGCCCTTCATTCTCTGTGAAGAAAGGAGCCTGCCTTTGTTCATGCATGCCAATATGTTTCCTCTGAATGCTGAGTCTTCGACAAGTAAAAGTACTTCCCGTTCAAGAAGGTCAAGGTGGTGTCAAATGGTGGCGCCACCATCACCTGCAAAGCTTTCTTTGAACTACTCGGGATATGCACATGTGTACCTATATATATATATACATAAATAGACATGTTGTGTATAGTACAATCTATGAAATATGTATGTATGTATATATATATATATATATGTATATTATATGGCATCCATGCATAAATCGATACACACACACACGGATATGCCTTTGCGTCGTGTTCGACACGTCTTTAGATTGGGTTATTTTGGGATGCCTGTAGCTTCCTCCGTTCCACAATGTTCCTATCAAAGGTGCTTGCAGATCCCTTGTTGATTGCAGAGAAGGACCGTTCGTCTTCTTTTGAGGGAACCCTCAGACTGCAAAGGGTGGTTTCCCTGTGGGATTCCCTTGTAAACCACAAAACAGCTCCCCCCAATAGACAAGCCCAGACCTGGCCAGACCTGGCCCCTGGTTCTCAGACCCCCAAATGTCCTTGGACAACAAAGGGCGCTATTTGTTTGGGCTAGCTGGCTTTGAAGGGAAGACCCTTGCAAAGAAAAGGACAACAGGCACCACCGGAGGCTATGTTGGCCCCGAACAAACATGGGAGCTTGTGCAACTAGGGCACCCTCTTTTGGACGGCGCCCGCAGGGAAGCATTAAATCCAATGACCGGTTTGATGGGCCCCTCTTGCTCCGAAACACGCAGATCTGTGGCAGAAATTCTTAAGGACTGCTTCCGGAGCTCCCGTTCAACACCTTCACGGTTTTGAATCAGAAAGGGATCCGAGACCAACAGAACCTGCATGAATCATGTGGCTGTGGGTCAAAATCCGATAACCCCAGTGAACATGTCAATCCGCGCTAAAATCGACTAAAATGGGTGGTGCACCTACCTAAATGGGTGGTGCACCTACCCCAAAATGGGATCCCATTGGTTTTGACCCACAGCCATATCCCTGCGATTGGCGGGCTCCTGAGATCACGTTCGACAGTCTTCGACAAGCAGCTCTGAATCGACACGCTGGGTTGCGCAACCCCTCTGTTTCCAGAGGGAATGAGGGAATGATTGAAGGAAACCACAAGTTGGATGCTTTGCGGTCATTTCATTTCTCATTCACTATCGCACCAGCAAGCTGCTTGTTGATTGAATAATTAGCAACCCCCCACCGGGGAGCCCAGGTGCGCCCTTTCGAGCATATCTCAATTCGAGAAAAAGAAAAAAAAAGCAGTACAGTTGGTCCATGTTCCCTTCTATATACTTTGTTCGAGCCGTTTAGATTTACGGAAGCGCTCCCTAAACGTGTGTTCTCCTTTTGGTTTCCCTTTGACTCCACTAAAGAGGGGTACCCTCCAAAACAAACACACCCAGTAAGCATTTGATTGTCTACCCCAATCAAAGATTGAGCAACTCTGCGAACATCAGAGTTCAACGGGCCAGCATGACAAGGCTGAGACCACATCACGGCGAATTGCTTTTCCTAGGTCCTCTAGAGAGGTTAGATCAAGGGTACCATTTTTGTTCTGTAGTCTATTTTAGGGGAACCCTCCGCCAAAAAAGAAACGGAAAAAGTTGGCACTTAGCAGGGGGGCCAAGTTTCCTGAGCCAGACTCAAGCGAGACCTCTCGTGAACCAACACTGGCGATAAAAACCCCCAAAGGCCCTTGACGCCTTGAGCCAAGCGAGCATCCAAAGAACCATCGTGTCTCTTAGCACCTCAATAAAACAACTTTCACCAGGTCCTCCAGTAGGGAGGTTAGAATAAGGGTACCCTTTTTTCTGTAGTCTACTGTAGTAGGGGACCCCTCCCCAAAAAAAGGGGTACAAGGGCACTACTGAGGGACCTAGTTTATGCTGCGGTTCTGGGGTACTTTGAACCTGTCTAGCTCCGAGTTTAGAAGTGCGCTACAAGAAACTCGTTGGGCGTGTCACAAAATTCGGGGCCCCGTACCCCCGAGTCAACTTCCTTGGCGTTTCTTCGGCTTCTCGTGGCATAAAGGTTGAAAAGAACCAAAAGATCCGGTCCCGCCCCCACCCTCCCGCCGCAAAAGAAGAACTCCGCACACCCATAGGTGTCCTCTTGAAAAAAAAGAAAAAAAACTGTCCCTGGAAAAAAACACACATTTCCGCACCCCACTTTGCAAATGAAAAGAAACAAAAAACACCGAAACCATTTCCGCACCCCACTTCGTCCCTCAGATTCTTTCACTTCCGAGCGAAGTCTCCACCCTCCGGGCCCGCCTGCCAGCCTCGCGGCGTGGTGCCCAGCAGGACGTTCATCATGGGCCTGGCATTCAAGATCATCGATTATTTCATGAGTTAAAGCTTCATTATAGTTTATATCCAGTCTATTTGTTTCTTCATCTGCACTAAATCCATGTTGCCTTATATTAAAACCTGAAGTCTCCTTCTGACCCGAATCAAAAATGGGTTCATGACCAACCATTATTTTGGGCAATGACCAAGCATTATTGGAGGGCATCGAGACTCCAGGAATCGCTTTGCTTCGTTATTCCGATGCGAAGGAAAAAGACAGGCCTACCTAAAGTCTCCTTCTGACCCGAAGCAAAACTGGTTGGTCATTACCCAAATTAATGGGGTCATGGACCCATTTTCAAAGGGTCAGAAGGAGGATCCAGGTAGACAACTAGAATGAGGCTATTGGGTACCTTAAAACAACACGCAGCCATCATCGATGGCTTCTTCTAATAATAAAGGTCCCCAAAGCAACAAGAATTTGTCCAAACCCAAAACATCCAGGTCCGGGAATACCTAGAATAGGCAAATCCTCAACCAATACTAAACTACCGATTTTCCCTCGTGACCTCGACTCGAGCCATATTCGGGGTCCCCTTCATCCTTTCCTTTCTGAAGCCACAAACAAGAGAACCCAAAACGGACTCGCTTATATATGAATTCGTGATTTCACTTCATGGCTTGTCGGTCGCAAACCGGGTAGGTCGCAAGAATACGCCCAAACAAATTGCACTATTCAATTTGCCTCGTTCCTACGCATCCATGGCAGGTGTATTTTGTACAAGGGGGCTACCACAAGAGGAAACCTCTACCAAGGATGGTTTTTGGATGTTCCACCATAATCTACAGAGTCCGTCACCACTCCTCCGTTTGCTCAAGTCCCCCTGAGAAAATAGAAAGCAAATGATATGTCCAGTAGTGATAGATTCCCTGTAACACCAGGGGAAAACACAACATATTCCTAACCAAATGGAAACCACTCAATTCAGCTTCGATAAGCCCGCCGGAGGTGCGCGGAATAATTCCACACCAGGCCGCTGAAAAAGGACGCGTGACCGCCTATGCTGGCGAAGAAAGGGATGGGATGCTGCTAGGTCCTCCAGTAGAGAGGTGAGAATAAGGGTATTAATTGTTTTGTTTGTAGTCGATTTTAGTATGGGAACCCTCTCCCAAAACCGAAACGGTAAGAGTTGGCACCCAGCTGGGGGACCTATAGGCTGTGTATTTACGCATACTATGGGGCGCTTCTCATTTTTTTTGACCCCAGGGCGGTTTCCTTCAAACCAGCCTCATTGGGCTCACTGCTCGAACTGTCTGCCAAAAGATGGTGACTTTCAGAACAACCGTCCAAAGGCCCCAACCCATTTTGAGACACCCCCAAAGAAAGCTTGAATCATTGGAATGGGATGAACTGGGATACCGGTCAAAATAGGCTCAGATGGCCATGGGCTAAAAACTTTAAAGGGGAACTCTTCCCCAAAAAACGAAGAAAAAAAAGGTAGCACTGGGCAACTGGGCAGGAGCAAGCTAGAAATAGTGAACCAACAGGGTTGACCGGTTGACCCGTTGCATGGAACCCGTTGCCTGGACTCAGGGCAGCGTTTCCCTTTGCAGCCTCACGGCATGCCCTACACCTCCTCGGCCCTTCTGGCCAAACGCCCACAATGGGCCCACGAATCCCGGAGGCAAAGCACCAGAAGCCGGCTCCATGAAACCAGGTCATCCCGATCCTTTCGGAAACCAGAGGGAGACAAAAAAACTCGTCGCGGGTTCCACACTCCAAATTTGAGATCTATGGCACGGTTGCGGTCGATTAGCATACATCATCATTCATCTGGTTGTACGATACACCGCAACTCGCCGCAACTCCATTCGAAGATGGGGTTCTGGGCTTCCAACCCTCCCTAAATCCCTAAACTCTCCCCGCACGGCCCCTTTTGATACCAAACCGGCCTTGGCCAAAAAACAAGAAGAGAAAAGCTGAGGAGGAATCCGGCTGGAGGAAGGCGGGTTCGAGGAGGAAACCTCATGATACCAACCAGCCTTTTAATACCAACTGGCAGGAGGAAGCTTGGACCTTTGACCCCCACCGCGCAGAAAAACCCTTCCGGAGACCGCCCTTGGCTTCATGAGTCTGGTTGCGTTCACTGGGCCCGTGTTCGGATTCTCCTTCCCGAAAAGTGACTAACGTTTAGTGGGTGCAATGGAAGCCACCACTAAACACTAAAAGGATAAAAAACTAAGGAACCGGATGGCTGCAAGCCACCAACTTTGCATGAACTTTGCATTGTTCAAAGCAGTCGTGACAGCGCCCTGTTGCTTCACTTTGTTGCCCAGACCTAGAGAAGAACAACGTCTTCAGATGGTTGGAGCATGGCGGAGACGCTGCGGGCTTGTCACATGAGTACCGCAGGACGGTTTGTGTTTTTTTTGGCTTCACTCGAGAACCAACCAACAAGGGGTTCTCCAAGAACGACAGGCCGACGGGCTGGTTGGTTTGCTTAAAGGAGCTAAGTGTCCTTCGTTTTGAGAACGACACACCATGCGAGCTATGTCTGCGGGGTACCGATTGGTTAGGGAAACCCATTGATTTTCTTGGCCACACTTAGACCCCCTCAATGAAGGTAACCCAAAGGGGCAAAAGGGCAAAAAGCTTGGCTCAGCTCAGTCTGTCATTTGTTTTACATATTTTGAAGGGAGAAAGGGGAAACCAACATGACACCGGAAAGAGCCCCATTTGAGGGCACCAAATCTGAGAAACCTCCACGCATCCTCTGAGCTCCCGTCTGGTGGTCAGTGGTCGTGGCAGCTGTTTGGACGTCCGGGCGGAGACCTTGTGCCCACGGCAGTCGGTCGAGTACTCCCAAGCCGTGCTGGAAGGATCCAAACTTCGTTGCAAAAGTTCCTGGAGTCTCCATGACCCGAAATAAAAATGGGTTCATGACCCCATTGTTTTGGGGAATGACCAACCATTTTTTACAGACTCCAGGTGATTATTTCTTTTGTGGCCCCACTTCGGAAAAAAAACAAAGCGTAGGTCAAGTGCTAGGGGCACCGAGGGGGACTACTACAAACTTCCCACTTCCCAAACAAGTTGAAGTCCAAAGATCGAACCAAATAGCCACAACAACATTTTTTTTTTTAAGAAAACAACAAAAACAACAGGCATCGTGTTTATATATATATATATATTGTGCGAGGGATTCCATTCAACAATGGGAAAGCCTAAAATGGTCGGTTGCCTTTTGGTGGGCGCCATAAAGGTCCAAAGATGGGCACGGCAATTGAGCTAGGGTCTAACAAGACGCGGTTACCGGAGCTTTCCACTTGAAGGTTCAATTTGTCTTTCTAGTTTCTGCTTGTTCAGTTGGAATCACTCCCATGTAGGTGTTCCACATCCCTTCTTACATCGCCAGGGTCAATTCCAGAAGATGGTAAAGTCGCAAAACAAAACAAACAAACAAACAAACAAACAAATATACCAGATGCAAGAAGAGGCGTGCTAAGCTCCTTGACGCTCGCCTCGCCATTTTTTCCTCGAGCCAAAACGGTTTCGCCTCGCTCACTCCCAGGTCCCGCTGCAACTCCGCCAGGAGGACGGTGAAGGCCTCGAGGGAGGTGTCCGGCGCATTGACCATCAGCATGGAGGTCCTTTCTGACCCAGCCTAAGACCCAACGTGCCTGGACCAAACATTTTGGTTGGTGAGTTCCTTCCTTAAGCTTGGACCCTCAAAAAACCAACTTAGAAATGGGTTGTCGCCCGCAAGTATGGTTGGTGAGCTCCTTTCTCAAAGGAAGTTTGAGGGTCCAGGTGTCTGTTTTTGGGCGCACCGTTTCTTGGCAGGGCTTAAAGGGAAGCCAAACAGAAACCAACCGTTTTGGGGGTCCACTACAAAAAGACACACCCACATGGCCAACATGAGCTTGTGGGAAACACCACTTCAGGAAAGACGGGTGCAGCTTTCTCGCTTTGATTTCCAGGAAAAGGGTGAACTGGTTGAAGGCGTAATCTGGCAATCCCAAAAGGCTTCATGTAATCAGTTTTACTTAGCATACATTTGCGCACAGTTGCCTGCAACATGTTCCATATGTGGGTACCTATGTGCGGCTCATTTTGAGAGTACCCGTTTTATGTGGATTTTAGAGGAAATCGCATCAAACCACTTCTGTTTTGATTGGAGGGGGGGTACCATAAAGAAAGCCCCCCCCCGTCCACCTACTTGGAGCATCCAATGAGTTGGCGCACACACACACACACACACACATATACACGCGCCCGTTTGGAAACCATCCATACAGGGGCTACCTATTGATTGAATCCCTCTGTCCTTCCAACAGCTGACTTGCTCTTTTGGACCCAGACATGAAAGATTGACCTTTCAGAAGAACTTGAACTGTGGCTCAGAAATCTGGGCCCAACATGGAAGACGAAAACCTACCGCCCCCTAGTGAACTTTCAGCCAGGAAAGACAAATCTTCGACGCGCTCCTTGTGAAGTTTGAGCCAACAAAAAGGAGTGGTTGGCCAACCTTCCGCTTGAACCGCCGCCTGTTTCAAGATCGTTTCAGTTCCCCTCGGGCGCAAGACCGTTCTCCGGTTCAAACTCTTGCCCATATCGAAGGGTCCTCCTGCGGCTGGACCTAGGACGTACTCTCACCCCAGTTTGCCTGCATCTTCCTCGCGTCCTGTGCCCCCACATCTCAAATACCTCCATTCCCTGTCAGCTGGTCGTTTCATATATTTTAGACGACCCTAAAAACGAGAAAAGAAAAGAAAAAGGTTTGGAACAGATCAGTCCGAAGGTACCTGGAGTCTCCTTCTGACCCTTCAAAATGGTTGGTCGCAAAATCATGCTTGGTCATGAACAGCAGTTAGAAGGTACCTGGAGTCTCCATGACCCTTCAAACATGGGTCATTACCCAAAATAATGGGGTCATGGACCCATTTTTCAAGGGTCAAAACTCAATTGCTGTCTGCTCCCATGCTAAAAGAGACCAACTTTTAGTGGTTTTAATACGGAAAACCCATCCATGAGTTGGCCAACAAGTGGTTCAGTCCTAACATCCCTTGGCAAAATCCCCCCAAAGAAACGGAGACGCCAGGTCCTCGGCTCGGCTTTTCGCAGCCCATCGCTCCGCGCCTGGAAGTCGTCGGCGGTCCGACGCGGGTGGTTGCCACCTCCAGCTCCGCCACCAGAATTCGGCCCAGGCCCATGGCAAGCAGCCGCTGCTGGAAGCGATCCCTCGGATTTCCAGTGACTTGAGCAGGTTACATGGCAGTGGATCAAAACCGTTTTGGATCGGACCAACCATTTTGGGGGGTTTTCGGTGAATTCACCCATTTTAGAACCGATTCTGGTGGGGATCGGGATGTTCACTGGGGCGATTTTAGTGGGGATTGGGATGTTCACTGGGGGTACTGGCTCTTGACCCATGGCCACATGTACCTCGACCCGCAAAAACTATCCGGGGCAAAAATGGCCCCATTCGGATTTTGTCCCAACTTCACCCATGTCCTCTGGAAGTTGGGTGGTTGCTACGCCAAAGGGAAGAGCCTCACTGTGAAGTTGGGTGGTTTCTGCGCCAGAAGACTGAGGCTCACCAGCACTATGAAGTTGGATGGTTCACATGTAAGGCATGTCCATGTTTCCATCCAGGAGCTCCACTTTGCTACTGAGTAATCTCAGAGGATCTCAGCTATTATAGTAGTATATAGTAGGCCACCATCCGTTTTCCTTTTGGGCAAAAGGGTGGTCCCCTTGATTATCTACAGGATGGAATCACTGGGTGGACCAAGTCTATTTCGACCAACCCAGAACCACCGCAATTTTACATGGTCTCGCGTTCACAATTGCCGCTACATTGGACGCTTGTATTGTCGACATCCCGCCTTTTGCTTGTGCTTGTTGGTGAAGAGGCAGGGTACCGGGTACTCCCACCGGATGTAAAACTGGGAAATTCAGCACTGATTGTCCTGCCACTGCATTGTAACAATATAATTACCACAATATACCTGCTTCTTTTTCGAATCCTTGTCTCGCAAGAGGTATTTTCAGCGTCTCTCACTTGCACATGTTGTTTGGTTTGCACATCATGCAGGTTTCCCGTTGCTTCCCTGCAAATGTTTGAGGCTCGCTTTGGAGCACTCCCTTTTGGGGTTCGAACGACTTGCATCTAATCGGCTCTCATCAAAACCTGTCGGACATGCGGAATCGGTCTGCAACTGCAATGATGTTGGAAGCCAAGCCTACGGCCAGGCCAATTGCGCTGACCCACTAAGGTACGATCCTTGATGTCATGCCTGTCAACTTCCAGCCGACTCAGGTAGACACTCTCAAAAAGCGGACTGACAACGCCTGAAATCGCCAACTCTGATCGAAGCACGTTTCGGCATATTGAAGTTAGGCGCACTGTCCAAATGTCCAAGGCAAGGAACCTGCCAAAGGATTGTTTTCTGTGAAGCATCCAGTGATCCCAAGACATGTATGACGCAAAAAGAAGAGCAACGTCCGGTGAGCCTATGACTCACACCACTGCTGCTCAAAATTGGAGACCCCTCCAAAAGATCAGCTTTTGTTTGGCTGGCCTCCAAAGCCATGCGAAAAGGGCACCCCTATGTTTGAGACACCCCATAAACACCAAGAAGGGCCCCCCTATCCGAGTTTGAGAACAACAACACCCATGGACAACACCGCCCAAAGCAAACGGAAGGGCGCTAGGGTTCAGGATTTAGGCTTTAGGGGTTTATGGCTGGCCTGTTGGGTTGGGTGGCTTTTTTTTCCTCTCCTCCCCTCCTCGTTTGCCGGCCACGGCGCGTTTGGCTCTCCGAAATGCAGGGATACCAAAGAAGTACGGAACTCGAGGGCCATCTGCTCCGGATGACCTTCACCTAAGCCGAAAGTCACATGGCGCCGGCCCCTTTCTGCAAGCTCCCGGTGGTTTGACCATGGGTTTGGCACAAAACAGGGGACCCCCCAAAAAAGAACAATAAATAAATAAAGAAATAAATAAATGAATAAACTAATTAATTAATTAATTACCTAATTAATCAATCAAAAAATAACTAAGTACATGGGTGCTTCCATTTTGGCTTTCCCAAGAAAACACAACCCCAAAAAGGGGACCATCGACAAAGACACCACCCACATTTACCAACAAAAAGGCACTATCAGCACAACCCAAAAAGCACACACTGCACACAATCAAGTCAAAAAGCTCAAGCGAAAAACAATGACATTGTTTGAAAGGCGGCCTCTGAAAAACACAATGATCACAGGCTGGATAGAATGCTATGCCTTTAAAGGCCTCGGCCCTCTAGAACTCAAGGGGGTGCCAAAAGTGTTGCCCTTTGTCAGACTTTGGTGTCATGTGCAAATTCGACGGTTCGGGCAAAAGGAAAATGGTTCAAGCCAAAACAGGTCTGCGCGGGCAACGACCCATGCTTCGAACTGCAGAACAACCACCGACCCAGTATCTCGCTAAACCCAATGACCTCTGCAAATTCAAGACTTGGACACATACAGAAACAGCAAAACACACACACACACAACAGAACGAACCAAAAACAACACCACAAATCCCAGACACGCACTCACACACAGAGAAAACTGAAGCAGGGTGCCTCTTAGGCCAAGGTGCCAGGAAAAGATTCCACTTGTCGGAGGAGCTCGCAGAATCGTAAGGTGGGTCAATGAGAACCAACTTCCGAGCTCCATCTTCAAAACCTCCTGCGGGGCTTTTCGGGCCTTTGGGGCACACGGCTTGCTTTGGCTCGAGCATCGTGGCTTGTCTCCAAAGAGAAACTTCTGAAATGGGTACCTCCTCTTCTCTTCCCTTCCTTTAAACCACCCCAGACAAAAGCTTTCCTGAACAACATATGTAATACACAGCCACTTGTAGTACTTCGCCAGCAGGCAATACACTTGACCAAACAGGTGATGCTCAAGCTGAAGGAAATCCGCTTGGTCTGCTGAGGATGGCCGGGAGAAGACTTGTGCGCATGGCATCAAGACTACTCTCGAACTGGCCCATACAAACGGTCTCCTTTGAGTTGCAATAGACGGCCCTGGTAGATGATTAAACCACCAGGTAAACAAGGAATCGCCATCTATTTTTGGACCAAAACAACCAAAAAGCACACCTATGGGCCCATACAAACGGTCTCCTTTGAGTTGGAACAATCCCAAAGATGGGCCATGCAAAATGGCATGACCCGTGGCATCAGGCCCCTTGGACCCGGCGGTCCTCTGGCAAACCACTTGTAGCCTCGGAGGCTCAGAAATGTCCCCAGTGGCAACAAAAAGACTAAGGCCTTGCGGGGCGAAACCGTGGGGTTGCACAAGAGGTGTGATTGGTAGCCGCTGAAAATTAGCTGACATGTTTCAGGCCCTTGCAACTTCTTTTACAGGAAAGAGAGAAACCAGCAAAGCTATCCTCGGGCTGGCCACACCCGAACACTGATGATGGAAGGGGTTCTCATCAAGGCTCCGTACCTCTTGCCTCCTGAATTCATGTGAACTCGGATGGCGCACACTGGTTCTTGCCACACGTGCCACCATCAAAAACTCAGCTGTGTGTCCATGGGCGTGGTCTCTTGAACATAATCTGTACCCTTTTTTTTGGCGCACAGCAGGACTTTGGACAGTCACGCCCCACACAACCCCATTAACTGTTGGTAGACTATCTCAAGGATTACTATCCTGTCTGGTTTGCTACCTGAAACAGAATCCTCAAGGGCTTTCATCTTGGGTGAGCTGGTTTTACCCCCAAGTCGGTGAGCTCAGTATAATCTGCGCAGACCTACCTATAACAAATAAGCCGAGCAACCCCCCCACCCCCCATTTAATAGACAAAGGGTATTCATCCGTTTGGGGCTCTCTGACCAGCTTTGCCCAGGCTCCCATATTAATATCACCCCACCAAAAGGAAGCTCATAACGTGGCGCAATCAAACGCCTGCCGATCGAGCCCTGGGGATGGCTTCCATTTTTTAGAGCCCACCCAACAAAAACAAAAACTTGAATGGTGGTCCAAATGAAGGCCCCTTTTGGCAGATCTCCAAAACGGGGCCATTCAATTGACCCTCTAAAGCGGCAAAAGGGAAGCTGTCCAGAAGTAGCTTTTTGAGAACTCAAATTCCTTCACAATCAGGGCCCAAAAGACTTGGCCCAATGGGGAACAAACAATTCTCTGCAGATTCCGCTTCATATTTTATTTCTACCCCAAAAAATCAGAACAGACAAAATACCTTGGCTTTGCTTCGCCGAAAATCAATCCAAAAAACATGTGGCAGATACAGACAAAAAAAACATGTTAGATTTTGCGCCAAATCCACAAACATGTGGCAAATCCTTCAGGACCCATGTCTTCGTCCCCGCCCGACGCCAGGCAGCAGTCCCCGCGCACCACCCGCGTGCCACACCCCGCGCCCGCGCCGCGCTCGAGGCGCCGCAGATTCTCTGCGAGCGCGTCACCCACTTTGGGCGAGGCCTGCGCGGGGGCTGTGAAGCAACCCCCTCCGCCCCCCACACCGGCCACAACGCCCAATGCATCTTGCCCATGATTGCATTGCTGGCACCACAAGGAGCGCCTAGGCTCTCAAATGTGCAACACTAAATGCTCATAATCATGCTCGGGTGTGGTCTACCAATCTACCAGCTGCAGACACATCTGCGGCCTTGCGCATATTTTCCGCACATTCCCCACACAGCGCACATGTTCTCAAGTGAAGATCTCAATGTAATAGCTCCCGGTTCATTTAGGAAGCCACCAACACTACCCCAATGTCCCTCCAACCCAACCCTTCTCCAACCCCCGAGCCCCTTACCCCATCGCCTCGAACACAAGCGCGGTATCTTGGGGCCGCAGGAAACAGCTGGCAATCGCCGGCGAACCCAAATAATCATTCTCGCTTCCGAATCTCCTGGCGATGTCAGGACCCCGGCCCACACTTGTCCTGGCCTCATGGATAAAACTAGAATGATCGAAGTTAGGTCTCCATGTGCATATATATATATATATGTTTGTATCCCACGACGATCCTGGGTACATGCCCCCCGAAAAAATGTCTCTGCGTCATGTTTACTCCACCCTAGGTCTTATAAGTCCTTTGAGGAGACAAAGGCCCCACCCCCACCCCACCCCACCCACCCCACCCACCCACCCCACCCCACCCCCCACCCCACCCACCCGCTCCTGTGTATCTTCACGTACTCGGCCATCCCTCGGCTGCGATGACTTTGCGACTCCGCCAGTCGCTGGATCCCCGTCACGTGGTTCCCAAAGCGCAGCGCCTGTACCCGGAGCTTTGGAGCCCGGGAGCCCGGGACTGGCGAGTCCTCTTGAAGGGGATGACGAGTGACCAAAATCAGGGTTTCGCCAGGTGCCAAATCACCCGCTTAAATGGCCTTCCATTAAAAGTATGAAGTCCAAAGACTCGGGCAGTGAGTTGATGGGGAGTTCCATTTAAGAGGGAATCCGGATCACTTGCTGCGGAAAGCTCCCCCCCCATACCCACCAGGCGGATTTTCATCTGGGGTGGACGTCACTTTGGAGTTCCCCTTTTGGTCTAGTTCTAGTCATGGGCCCTCTTGCCCTGTGCGGAACACGGATGGTGGTTTTGGGCCCCCCGATGGCCTCTTCCAAAGGGAAAAAATGCGGTAAACACATATTGTTTTTTGGGGTTCCATGCAAAGGTCTGCAGAAGTCTTGGGTTAAAATGTAACCACTTTCGGAGTACAAGGATGTTGAGTGACCTTCGGGCGCATCGCTTGCAACTTTTGGGGGGCTCAAAAAAGGGGCAAAGATATATGGCACTCGCTGACCCAGATTCTGTGGTAAGACTAGCTCTCAAAGGAAAGCCATCATGTGGTTGCTGTTGTTTGTCTTCCATGACATGAACATAGCGGCGAAAAGCAGCAGGCCTCTTTTGGGGGATGGTAAGAGTTTCGTGTCTCGGCAAACCAATCACAGAAAATATGGCTGTGGGTAAAAAAACGGTACTCAAAATGGAACCAAGGACTAAAACCTGCGGTCCCCTGGTGGTTAAATTTCGATCCATACGCATATGCGTGACTTTTAGTCTTGAGGCTAGAGAAGGCTTGCCGATCCGACCCCATGTTTTTTTGTGTCTAAGGCAGCGCCTCTGGGGACGACAAATCATATACACCAGTGCCAGCGTGTGTGTCCATGTATTGGAAGGGCTCGGGATCCGCGACCATCTGCATCAGCGCTTCGACCAGCACCGCATGCTTGAGACAGTCAACCGGCGACCCAGCTTGGAAGTAGTGCACATAGTCAATGTCATCCGGTTTCCATTCATCCAAGCCTGCGTCCTTACCGGAAAATGGCAGCTCCGTGAACATCTGGCACTCCGGCTTGGGAGTTCGGGAAAAAAAATCAGACATGTCCAGAACGCTGCAACAGCTGACGCTGAAGGCAAGATATTGACTCTTTGGTATGCATTTTGAAACGGAGAGCGGCGGAACCACTAGAATCAAACAAAAGGGCAAGGTGAAACATCGGTTTCTCTTTCCTCCGGGCGGAATGCCTCAAAATGGCAGTGTTTCCCCTACCTCCAAAAGGTGTACTCTCAAACACGGAGACGCAGAAAATGGGTGTCTCAAGTTTTTCCGGCGCCCCCAAAATGGGCGGCTTCCAAATGGCTCCCCTGAACAAAAATAGCCCCGATGAGGAAACCCTTTGCGTTTTCGTCCCCAGGAAAAAACGGTGAACATATGTCCAGTAGTGAAATCGATTCCCAGGGGAAAATCAAAAATAATTCTTAACCAAATGGAAGGTTACCCTCCAAAACGACAATGTCTAAATCTGGGCGATGCTTCGATCACCTCCTGCAGCAGCGCCATGGTGATGGTCCACTCAGATTTTTCGCTCGCGCCCAGTGCTGCTGTGTAGGTAATTGCCTGAGCCGAACCGGCAACGTTTCATCTGGCAGAAAGATACATCGAGCCTTCTGGGGTCCGTGCATCCAACCTGGGAAACTGAGGGAAGACAGCATGCGCAGCCCAAACATGGGAAGCACAAGGGAGAGTAGCTGTTTGGGAGATGTTGCCATCCTCACCTAAAGTCCATGAGTTCTAGCATCTACAAATTCCCCACGTTGGCGATACGCTGGGCTTGCACAATATCGAGTAGAATGGAGCCGTCTAAATGAACATCTTACCCTGGATATGAGTGTGTCTTAGAATAGAGGACCCCCCTGAACAAAAAGGTTGGGTTTCTGTTTGGCTTCCCTTCAACAACACTCCAAACGAGGTAGCAACTCAAAACAAGACACACCCATACCAAAAGATATGTGGACGCATGTGGGTATTCTCCCAATCCCCGTCACATTCCCACGTGGGCGAAGGATTTGGATCAATCGGCTATCTCTAGCTGGCATTAGTGTCAAGTCAGACGAGCAACCTACAAATATGTTTAAGTCAAGAAATGAACATAAAGAACCGCTTAAGATACCTGGAGTCTGCATGACCCTTAAAAATCGGTTGGTCATTACTCAAAATAATGGGTCATGGACCCATTTTTAAAAGGGTCGGAAGGAGACTCCAGGTACGTTCATCTTGCGTGAGCTCGCTTTATCTCTAAGCAAGCTCGCTCTAGTTTGTGTAAAGCATAGCCACTGAGTCTGGGTAAAAGCAGCGAGCACTTCACAACCATGGCTCTCACCATCTCTCACTTGAATGGTCAAACCCAAAATGAGCCTGATGCACTGGTAGTCATCGTGGCGGCAGTGGTAGCATACGTAAAGTGGTATGGTGTGATGATGGGTGGGTTGGATATGTGGGATGGTGGCGAAAGCGATATCCTCGTGATGGCGTTGACGGCGGTGGTGCTTGTAATGGCGATAGATTGACAAAGGCAATGGAGTAGGGTTCATGATAATTGCAATGATGATGTTGCTGATGATGATGATGATGATGACGACTATGAGGAGGAGGAGGAGGAGGAGGAGGAGGAGGAGGAGGAGGAATAATAGCAGGAGGAGGGAGAACGACAATCACAACGATGACAAAGATGATGCTGATTATCAATATGATGCGTATGACCACACCTCTGGCTTCCCGGTGAAGAGATTGCAAGACGATACCTCTGCATGCTGTTGGCCCACTTCACTTTGCATTTGCTTCTTGCTCATGCATACGCCAACTCTTTGTCATTGCCTGGACGTCTGGGCGGGTAGAGAGACATGGATATACGTTTCCCTTCCAATTTCCAATCGACGTATGCTCGCGCCCCACATGATGGATCGCAGTGCTGAGGCACAGGGTTAGTAATGAACATTAGGTTTTGTCCTATTCCTTCTCGCTTCATAGCTAAGAGCAACATGCATTCAACGAATACGCCAAGCCAGCGCCAGCATGACTTCAACGTTGAACCATGGAGGACCTCTCCAACTTTCTGAGAAGATTGCAGTCTGAGCTCGGCGAATGTCAGTGGCTCGGACTGAAACGCAACTCCAAACTCCTCCCAGCTGAGGCGATTCCCATGCGGCAGATTCCCAGAACCCCACTCTCGTCACGAGGGAACTTTTGCCCAAACTCCCGATGGTCGCAAAGCAGAAAAAGCCTTGCCTTCCAGCGAAAAAGTCCCCCACGTGATGCCGCGTGCGACCGCGTTGTGGCCGCTAGCACCAACTTGGTAGGGATTCCTTTGAGGATGCGATGTCCAAAATGGACCGTCCCATGACTACTTCCTCCCTGCATGTGCATGGAATTTCCTCGGCATCTTAGAACACATACCAGTAGAAAACTGAAAGGAACATGAGTGCTTCTCAAAAAGAGGGGTCTCCCAAAATGGCAAGGTTGTCCTTTTGGTTTCCGTTCAGTACCAACCAAAAGCTGGTCCGAAATCCATGTTTAGAAACACCCACATGAGTATCCCGTACAGAAGATCACCTGAGCATCCCGGCATCCGCTAGCAGGGCTCTTTGGCGCATGGTGTCAAGGAGGTGCAAAGCCTCAGTGGTTCAGTGACCGTGGAAAAAAGGAACCCTTTTTGAGGAAGACCATTTTTAGTGGGGCCACCCCCAAAAAAGGAAAAACAACTGGTGCCTCTGAAGAACTGAGTCCTACCTGGACTCTCAAACTACCATGTCACTGAATCATGGGGACATCACCCCATGTTGGGTTGCAACAACCAATGGTGCCACTGAACAACTGAGGAGCCAAAGGCCATTGCCGGCTCTTGTCCGCCGCGTTCATCAGGGCGTTGAAAGTGATGACGTCAGCCCGTCTGCCCTCAGTCAAGTCTGGCTCCAAATGTGGAACCACCCCATTTGGGGTGGTTTCCCTTTAGTTTCCCGTATAACAACCCCAACAAGGGTACTGAAAACAAATACATTCATTTGCACCAGATCTGCGGCAACTAAGTATCCCAAGTGCAGTCTGATTCTTTGGTTCGCGCCTGTGCGGAACAATGCGTGCCAATGCCGTATGCGCCTGATTCCTGTTCTTCCACACTGAAGCAAAGGCTATACGATTGAATGGCAGGCCAAATCTTTGTTTAGGCAGGCAAACCTGTTAACCAACTGAACACTGACCAGTCCATGGCGCTTAGTGCCCTTAGCATGTAAGTGATGTGCGTAAATGATAGACAAGAGACTTGTTTGGACGAAGTCATGCCTGATGAGAATGGGTGCTTTGGGGACAAAGGTACCGTCATTCCTCTCTTATTCATTCCCTCTCCACATCTTTTCAAACAATGTCAAACTCTGAAAAGCAAAGCTCTCCCGGAACGAATTTCCAAGCGAGGAAACCTTTGACTAATACCTGGTCAAATGTATTAGTCTGGAAAAGCCCATAGCCCAAACAGTGATCTCTTAGTAACTTAGTCACCCCAAACAGGATATGCGTCCACGTGGGGGTTGTCACTATATTATTTTGCCCAGGATTCCTTTGGCCGCCCTTGCGCTTGCCTGGACTTGCATGGACTTGCTGTTTGAGTGGATTTTGGCGTGTCAGCTACAGAAAAGAGCTATCATTTCCTTACATGAAGCTAGGCAACATCAGTGCATAAAATCCTCTAGAGCTTTAACCTTGAACATCCTTGGGCCGCTCTTGCGCTTTCCTCGCGGGCGCACAGACTTCTTCCTTCTCAGCAGCACTTAAAACCAAAGACTGGGGTTTTGGGACGAACCCATATGATGTAAGTAATCCATGCGCGTATATGTACATAAAACACCCCAGCAATCGGGTAAGGTTGTGCCTTGGTGCGATTTGGCGTCATATTGACACGGATGCAGCCGGGCGGATGCTTTGTTGGGTGCCACAAACAAGAAACATGTTCACTTTTGGTTCCTTATCTGGGTGCTAGACTGGGGTCTGGAAAATTCAAACAGGAGTAAATCGCTTTGGGCGTCCTTCGGGGGACATCACCAGCTGTTCGAGTTACTAAGTTGCTATTTTGCGCCCAGCCTTTAAGAAGTGGCCCCCTGCCCCCTCATCCAGTGCTAAAAAACCTGCGATTCAGGGAAACGGCCAGCGAAGGTGAGGGAAGGCCATGTGTGTCATAGCCACGAGGCTGGAATAAATTCCTTGCGGCTCTGACCAGCGGGAATAATCGTTGTGATACCATGAAATTCTCATCACCTTGTCAAGAGGTTTCCCTTGGTGCAGAACATGACGTAAGCAAAGGGACCCCCCTTTGTTGAAACTGTGTCTTTGCTGAATCCAAAAGCGCATCAACTGATCTAGAGGTTTCCCTTTTCAAAGCTTAGCCGGCGCAACAAAAAACAAACAACAACACTGCGGAACCCCGATACAGTAACCAAAAAAAACAACCTCACTCTTGTTGGCTCAGAATGTGATCCATCAATATGCGGAACCCAACAAAAAGCGCCTCACTCTTTTCGGCTTCCCCGCCGAAAGGACCGCCCCGTTGGGTTCCTCCACCCGCCGCTGGCTCGTCCACGGCGCCAGCTGCTTCGCCAGGTTCAGCGCCATGAGCCACTGGGAGGCCTTGCCAAGGGCGCTGATGGCTGCGTTGAGGGCGGACACCGTCCTGGCCAAAAACCAAGGGGAGGGGGGGAGTGGGGGGGGGGGGGAGAGGGGGAGGGGGGAAAGGGGGAGGGGGGTTGGAGAAACCTGGGTGAGGCGGTTCAACCTTTGAAATTATGTTAAAAAAAAAACACTCTTGTTAAAACTCACTCTTGTGGCTTCTTTCAGGGAAACCAGAGGGTTGTTGAAGCAAATTTACCATGACCATTCTGACCACGGATTTATGAACCCAGCTTATGAAAACGGGGGTCAACGTGAGGGCGAACTTCATCTTTATGGGTGGTTTTCTCCAATGGTCATCCCATGTACAGAACCTTCGGATCAACCTCCACATGTATGCCCGTCAAAGGATATGCCCATCAAAGGATACTCTGGATGGACAAAATCCTGCACCAGTTGGCAGGTGATTTGTCTCAATACTTGTGGAGTTCCATTCGTGAACTTTGTCCATGCAAGCACTGGCTATAGTCTACTATTTCTTCATAGGATACTCCTTGTTCCGCGAAATCCACACTTAGGGGGTGCGGCAATAGCCGGGAGATTTAAGGGAGAAACACTTGTATGTGAGGTCACACGCTGGATGGCCACAAGCACACAAACACACATACATCTCCCTGATAAAACATATGCAGAGGTGCTTACCTATACAGCAGTGGACCTGTGATCGGGCCTTTTGAATGTTGATTCTGTTGTAGTATCTTCATGTGCTCGGACACACTCAGAATTGCAGCACACTTGGGCACATCCATGTATTCTCCAAGTTCAATAGAGACTGATTGTCAGAAGTCAACCTGTTAGCTGCCAGAGTTGGGGGCTGCCCAACCTCAACATAGTCGGGTGGGTGTTTGTTGCAAGGGGTCCCTACATCTGACAGCTGCCTATACAGCGAGCGTACTAACGCATGGCCTGGGGCACCCACAAGCACGGGTGGTCCGTCTCAGGACGGGTGCATCGTCTCAACTGGAGGCTGCTCCTCTGTGAAGGGTGAATGCTGCTCAGCACATCCATGGCTGACTGCCAGCATGCACATCTCTCGCATGCGCTGATCGCAGCCTTTCACAGGGGACGTATCTATCCGGGTGTTCGGACAAAAACTGGGCGCGTGATACCTTTGTCTTCATGGCAAAGCGCCGGCTCGACAGCTGCTACACCTGGGCCCATGTGTTTGAATAACAAGCAACTCAGCAACATGTCATGGGAAGAACTCATAGGGTCATAGCTGAGTATCTAAAGACATCTGTAAAGCTTAGAGTCACACCACTGTTGTAACCGGAAAGTCAATCGTATGCCGGCTGCGCGAAAGGACTAATTACCTAAAACCCGTGGTCAAATCCGGCTTGAAGTGCCAGCTCTATGTATTGATGTATGTATGTATGTATATATAAACCATGTTCATACGGGTTTGCCTCAAAATTGGATTTTCTTGGTTGTCCATTCAATTAAAGGCTACAACACATACTTGCCACCCGCTGGTGAACTGTCAAGAGGGAGGTCTGTGCTTGAAAACCAAGACCCTGTACTTTCTCGCCCACAAACAGGAACCCTGAAGACCCCAACAGTCTCCCTCACCACCCTCACAAAAGAACCATCTAAGAAACAACCTCCAGAAATGTCTCCAGTAAGTTAGCCAAACACCCATCCACCAAATACTTTGATGATTTCCTGAAGACTTTGCCGGAATTAGTTTGTTAGAAACCAGAAGAGGGGATGGTCATAGGTTAGTGTAAGAAAGGCCACCAAGGAACCAACATCTGGATCCAGGCCACACTTACTAGGCCACCCTGAATTGGTGTTTGGATTGGCGGGGACTTGAACAGGTTCTTGTCAGAATTCAGTGAATGGGACACCACACCCAAACCTCCAAACCACCAATCCACCAATTAGAGGGAAGCTAATGGAGGGTACCCTCACAAAAACAAACCACAACCCAGACTGCACTTCTGAGCTAAGAGGCACTGCACATGATGGCGTCTTGCTCGCCCCCAGAGAGCAATTCCAAGGCCTGCACCGACAGCGAAATGAAGCGGTCGAGTTGCTCCAGCAAGCTTCATATTTGGCGGTGGCTCAAATACATGTACCAAAATGGCACCTTGGGAAATGGAAGCAAGGACTAACGCCTGCCCCGCCTTGGGCCACTGCTCCGCCTTGCCCACCACGTCGAGGCCGGAGGTGCGACACTGCGCCGTCACCTCCGCTCCTCGCTGCGCAAGGCGCTCGACGCGCGGGTTTGGTTGGGAACTCAGTTGTTCAGTGACCCTGGGAAAAAAGTGGGGAAGACCATTTTTAGTGGGGCAGACACCACAAAAAAGAAAGAGGGTGCCACTGAACAACTGAGACATGGTCCGCGCGGGTTCACGTAAGCTAAACCTGTAAATCATCCTTTACAAGATGGGCCTCCGACCTGCTGAAATGACCTGTTCAACTAGAGAACCCCGCATATGTGTCAGTGTTACACGCAATATATTTTTTGGAGGCTTTCCAAAAAATGGGGGGGGGCTGCTCTGGGATTTCTCTTGTAAGCCATACAAAATGGCCGTCGATGTGTCCTGTGCCATGAAAGTAGCAGGGGTTATCAACTCGGCCATTTTCCTGAGTTCAAGTTGCATCTTTTTGCTTCGACTCCTCCCGCAGGTTGATATTCACCCAAACCCAAAGCAAACGGAAGGCAATTCGACCCTGCCAAAATGAAACAAGGAAGGGGATTGAATCAGTTTCCACTGGCGAGCACCCCGCCACATCCCTTACATTGGACGCCCCTCCAGAATTCCCTTGCAAGCATGTGCTTCCCAGTTCTTGGGGTTCCTCTCGCACAAAGAAAGGACCAGCGAAATCGTCCAGCCGCGTCTTTCTGCGGAATTCCTTGGTGGCATGGATAAAAATGGCTTTGCACAAGTAAAATGCCCGAGAACGAGCAGAACAAAACCAAAGACCGAAACCGCACAAATGGCTTTGACCTCGAGGCTTTTGAGCACCATGAATTTCCCTCCGCTTTGGACCACAATGCCCATGCACCCTTGGTTAAAGAGCAAAAAATAGCTCAACAGAATCCACGGACTCATCATCTGATTCTCAGAATGAGTTGCAATGACCCCTTTTTTCAGCCATCGCCGATTTGGTTTCCTTTCGTTGGCATCCGTTTCCTTTCAATGGAATCCCACGTTTCCTTGGTGGACTCCCCTACACGGAATTCCTTCCCATTCACCAGGGGAATGAGTTGCATTCACCCGGACTCCACCGAGTCATTCCCTGCCGATTTCGCCGTCGTCCCCTCCCAGCGGGCACCCAACGCCTTGGCAGCGCATGTGCTCCATCAGCCGCAGCGCTTGAGGCCATTCGCCTACGTGTTGTCACAAAAGGCACCCGGCCCGGCCATCCTCAATATGTCTGTGCGGTTGTTTAATGCATGCTAACATATAAAACCACAAAGCACAAGACAAGACGCAAAAACATGATGGGGAGGCTTTTGTTTTGTATTTGAAACAGGGACAAAGGGGCTGAATGTTGAAATGCCAATCACGACTGGCTCATATTGGTTGCCCGCTTGAGCGATTAAGCAACGCAGTGTCATGAGACCAGCCATCACCACACCAAGAAAACGCGCGGCCCTTAAGAAACACTGCTTAGCTGTATGAATGAGGACGGGCATCCGAAGCAAATGCAACTATAAAGGCACCCTTTTGCTGTCTGCCTGGAGTCTCCATGACCCTTTAAACATGACCCTTAATTTTTGGATAGATGACCCCATGTCTAAAGGGTCATGAAGACTAAGTGGCTGTGGAACATAACCGTTTGCGTACCAATGTGGGACTCCGGACTCACATCACGAGTTTGCGCAATTAGGCGGCGTTTGTCTTGCGTTACAAACAACAAAATTTACACTTGTTGTTTCTTCTCCATTAGTTGACCCACTCCCGGGCAGGCACCCTGAGCCGGTCACATAAAGCGGCGACCGAGGATGCCACAGAGTGAGCATGGCCCACTTTGGAAAATGCATTCTCCAGAGGCTCCCTCATGAGAACCCTTCTCACATCTTCCATCATCTGGGCAAGGTGCGCTAAGGTCCAACCTGAAAAAAACGGGATGCCCCTACAACTTGCAACCTGACAAAAAGGGGGAAGCCCCGTTCATATCACTCCTGAGCATCCTCGTTGTGGCCCCTTCATCGTCGAGCTCGATCCATCTCCCCCGTCCTTCCAATGCAGACATCGCCGCCCCACTTCCACTGGGCGCCACCTTCAGCGCCGCCTGCCAAGTCACAGCGCCGGCGGCCGAATTCCGCGCCACGCCGGAGGCCTCGCAAGAGAAGCCGCCCGCCATGAAGCCACCCGCCGACCCTCAAACTGCAAGGAGAAGAGGGGAACTCACCCCATCCGTTTGGGGCGAAAAAACCCACGTTTAAGGGATTTTTGAGGGTCCAGGCAGGTGGAAAACCCACGTTTAAGGGATTTTTGAGGGTCCAGGCAGATGGAACGCCCGCCAAGAAAGGGAATCAGTCGTGGGCGCCGCTCGCAACGGGTCTGGCGCCTGAATTGCCATGGATGGAGTACAACTAAGTCAGATAGTTAGTCTGGTGTTTTGCCTCTCGGAATTTTCAACACCAGGTAGCTGCATTCTGAGGAAGGTGGCTTTTGATTCATGAAAGTTCCCAAAATACAACATCCAAAGCAGGGTACTCTTCCAAACATGCATATGTCGAAAGCAGCTGTGTAGTAGCTTTTGTAGAGCAATTCATTCCCAACGGTTGGCTTCTTTTCGGAGTCTGCATAATCGCCTGTGCACAAACACACACGGGCCAAGACTCAAAATGGCGCTCCATCAATATTTGACACTGGCACCAAGGTTGTGAAACTATGTACGAACAACGTCATCACAACAATGAAAATACCTTCCCGGCAACAGGCATGTACCTTCCCAAGCAACAAGCATGGAAGCTGAGCGAGCCCTGGCAAAACCATGTTCCTCTCAAATGGACATCTTTTTCACGTTCCACGTTTGCTTTTGGTAGGGTGATCACATCATATATGAGAATATGACGCTGCAAACAGAATCGTAATATAGGAAGCAGCAAGAACCCCCTATGTGCCATAGCCGAAATTCCGTAGTGTGGCTCATGGTCCTGATGTCCTTCATTGCAACCCTTGCAATAGGGCTCCATGACTACCCCCAGAAGCCCCGTGGGCTGAGAATCAGCGAGATTTGTGTTTTGTCCCCCGCAGATTTGGTGATCCATTGGGAATCTTTGCAATACGTAAGCCCAAGACTTGACATAAGAATTTCAAGCGGTTGGGGTACAAGAGATTCTACTGGCAAACAACCTATTTAGGGTGTTTTGGGGCCATTTCCTGCAGATTCTCCTGTAACCAAACAGTTTGAGCATTGGATTCCCAGGCAAGGCACCTTCATCATAAGTTTTGCGCGGGTTTTGCACCCCAAAGTCGCTGAGCTCGCACAACAAAAATCGGTAGATGTGATCCACAGTTCGTGAATATGACAAATGGTGTGTGCGTTTCCAAATGGGGGGACCCAACAACATGTGCCTTTTTGAGTTGGTGTCCCTTTCACCAACCTGAAAAGGGTACCGTCACACACTTGCTGGTGCGATAGGCAGGGAATGAGGGAATGAACCCAGGCTTTCCCCTTGAAGGAAACCACAGGATGGTTTATAAGGGTCATTCTCTCATTCCCTGCCCGTTTTGAACCCCAAAGCAGACATATGACACACTTAAGCCTTGTGTGGTGCTTTCGTGTTCTCATGTCCACCTTTATTTACTCATGTTTGCTTTGTTTGGGTTAAAAGGAGCTTGTGTTTGCCTTAGAGTCAACAAGTTTCTTCTGGCCAACTAGCACATCCTCATGTGATCCATGAGTCAGGTGCCTCTACAGTGAGGCAGGCCATCTGCTGCAACAACTGCAACGCCCAGGGCCATCTGCGCTCCTACCGAAATGAATTTCAGCGGGTTCTGCGCTCTGAAGGCCACTTGGGATGCAATCCATCTGAAGACTGCTGAAACCTGGGATTTGTTGGGGGCACGAATAGCAAATCATATCTCTATCTCTCTCTCTCTCTATATATATATAATACATGTGGGGCAAAGCAATCACACCTTCTTCCCCAGCAGTAATGACTCAATGTGGCTCGAACACATCCCCAGCTGTTCCAAGTACATCCCTTCCAAATATTGCCGCAGGATTCGGCAAAGGGACAGTGGGTCAAGTGCAGAAAAGCTTGGCAGGTGATGGAAAACTGACTTGTCAGCCTAGATGAAGACTTGTCAGCCTAGATGAATATCTATCGATGACAAAACACCATCAGCACATCAAGTAAGACTTCTTCGTGCAAGCAGCTGCGCCTTGAATCTTGTGTCCTGACAATCCGATGGAGGCATACCCGCACAATCAATATAGGGAATATATATATATATACCAATATTTGACCCAAGAGAGTAAATGCGGGCAACCATTGCATACATGGATTGTTTGGGACAAGCCTGCAATCAACAAAACTATGACTGTACAAGCAAGCGTCGAAGTCTTTGGACCGAACCGACACACGTCGAACTGCAGGTGAGATGTCTTTCGACGAAACAATAACAGAGCCAGGCCCCTAGCTAAGCAACAAGCCAACGAGCAGTACCCCTTGCATGTTGGGATCCTTGAGACAGCACAGTAGGTGAGTTTAGAGGATAAAGAGACAAACCTGGCCAACCCTGTATGGGATTTTGTACTTTGAGACAAACTCACATGGGTATGTCTCAAATTTGGGAACTCCTCTTTGCCTGCCCTCAAAGCCCCGTATCAAAAGAGGGCGGTTTTTGATGGAAAAACGCAGACCCAGGAATCTGAAAACCGCAGCCCCCAGGGCGTCCCCTCTGTATCAAAAGTGGGAAACCCCCCAACAATTTGTAGTTGTCCTTTTGGCTTCCTCTGAAAACAACCCAGAGAGGGGCTCCCCCAAAAAATGACATATGCCCTGTGTTGAGGTTAATCCATACCCTAAAACCCCGCGCAAAGTTTGTGTCCTTCGCCGTGGCTGCAATACTCGATCCGAAGATGACAGCGTTCTGGAGCGATTTCTGCAACGCCTCCTGGACAGATTTTCGTTGCGCGTCCAACAACGGCACCTGAATTCTCTCTTTGCCACCGGGCCGTCTACCACAACATTGGGTTGGTGCGGGTTGACTCGGGTATGCTTCTTGATTAGGGACCTCTGGGGGACATCATTGTGGTGCCACTTTTGAAGTTCCGACTCTTGAAAGTTGCCACGTTCAAGTCTTGCACCTTAGCAACATGTCGCACAGGGAGCTCAGATTTTGGCTTTCCGAAGCCCAGGTGACAGAAAAAGTGATATCCCCAACAGCCACCCTTCCGGAACCTGAAAACGGAAAATCCGCGTAAAGCGGCCAAGCGGGGCTCCTGCTTATCTGGGCAAAGCTGGAAGCTTTCAGCTGGGCAAAAAATCGGTGGGAACTCCGGACCAACTTCTCCCCAAACCTCTACGAGTTACGCAGAGCGGGACCTGTCCCATTTTCACCAGAAACCTCTGGGTGTTCAGCAAGGCACTGACCAAATCAGGGACTGATTGAGGGACCCAGGTTTGAAAGGGGTCCATCTTTGACCCGCTGAAATTGGAGCACTTTGAAAACGTGGCTGCTGCGCAAACAGTTCGCGGTTTCCGTTGCTCCCGCCATGTCTCTCAAGCCTTTCGGCGCTGTAATGAAAAAGAGCTAGGCTTCTTTGTGTACTGGGAAACTACTAAGACACTGTCACAGATGCGTGGAATCAACACGCCGAAAAAAAGACAGAAAACAAAACACACACACACACACCCTCCACCGTGCGCACCATCCCCAGCCTTCCAGAAAACCGTCCCCTGCGCTCCGCCCAGACACACACACACACACCAAAAAAATGGATTTGTCACAATGTGACAGTTGTGACTCGCAACCCTTGCAGGCAGGGGGGAAGGAGAGCAGGCCCGCCCTCCATCACCAGCATCACCAGCACCCAGCATCCAGCACCCCAAACCCAACCGCGACAGATGGGGTGTTGAGTGGTTTCAAGTGGGCTTGAGGACCTGGGTCCACCCCTCTTGAGAACCTAGGTGCTGTAGATTCTCAGTACACGAGGGGCGGACGGACCCAGGTCCTCAAATCCACTCAAAACCGAGTTCAATTTCCACTCTAGCAATCCCCCTCCCCTTTCCTTCAAGGTGAGCCTCACTACCCAGGCAACAGCACTGCCGGCAGTGCCGCATCGCGTCACCCTTGCTGCCCCAACCGGCCATCCCAAACCCAAACAAGCACGCCTCAAGCCTTAGGCTGAGCCACAGAAGCAAAATGCAAAATTGGGAAAACTACAATTATCCTGGTTGACGTTGATAGGGGAGCAACAATTTGAATAGTTTAGCAGATATGTGGAGATTTCAACCACCAAGCCACAATAAGCAAAAATGTAAAATGTGTCCCAACAACAACCGAGTTATGAGGTCTTTGGTTCGGTTGGTTTGGGTTGGACAGTTTTGGAAAGGCAGCCAAAGCAATCCTGCAGAGCTGCTGATTCCATCCAATGTGAGGCCTTTCATTCCTGCTTCACGTCCAATGTTGAAACGGAACCGAACAGTTGCAAGGAAGAAACCTCTACGCTGAACGTAGGCAGTGCACACACAATCTCCCACACTCACACTCGGTGTTGCAATGCAAAAGGTCACTTGGTCAGTTGGAGTGCTTCGAGTCAGTTGGAGTGCTTTAAACACATGCGCAGAAAATGAGTAATCTGTGCTTAAACATGGATGTAAGTCTTACTATTTTGAAGCTGAGTGGATCTGAGTGGATTTGAGTTGATTCTGAGGTGGTTTTCAGTGGAGCGGTTGAACCTGCAAACATGATTCATGATAACATGGGTCCCCCAGACCTGGGTCCAACAGTCTGTCCCTGACAAAACTGACAAGAAGAAAAACGAGGGAACCTTCTTTTTCGGCTTCCCTTTATAGGTCAGCCAAACAGTTCATGGGCCATCATAGCCGCATCTTCCTTCAGCTCCGAGGTCCGTCAGTAGAGAGGTTAGAATAAGGGTACCCTTTTTTTCTGTAGTCTATTTTAGTAGGGGAACCCTCCCCCAAAAAGGAACTCGGTTGCTTTCTGCTCCCCTGCTAAAAGTTTAACTTTTAGTGGTTTAATGGAAAGCCACTACTGGGGGACCTAGGCTCCCATGCCGCAGTTTCCGGGCATCCACGACGTCCTGCAGCAGCGTCAAGGCCGCCTGCCAGCGCCCAGCCCGCGCCAGGCCGTGCAGCGCCGCGCCGTAGGTCACCACGTCGGCGGAGGACACGCGTCGCGCGCGCCTCGGAGACGCGGAGACGCGGGGAGGGGCCCTGGTGGTCCCTAGGCTTCCACTTGCCCCCGTTGAAGGAATGGCCTTGGGTTCCAATTTGGATGACAATCCTTGGGGGGAAAAAAAAACAATGGTGGTCATATATGAACCATGGTTTTACTGGTGGGAACGGAACCCCAGGGTGGTTGGTTTAAGAAATGGGCATCTCACCTCCGAGCCAGCGGATGGGCCAAACAAAGTGCTCAAACTTTTTGTTTGCCTCTAAAGTGGTCTTCCCGAGAAGCATAAAAAGTCCAAAACTCAGGAAGTGAGGCAGGTTTGGGGTTTGGCACTTTTTGGAGGGAACCACTTTTTTGGGGGTCGCTAAAAAAAACGAGCCACAAGTCGTTCTGCACGGGTCGCATTTCCTTTCGGGCGCCTGGAAACAATTTTGCGGGAATGCAACATGAGTTCTTGTTTGGTTTCTTTCGGGTGCTTTTGGTTCCCCCCCCGCCCAAACAAGGGCTTTGGGTTCGTTGTATGCTCCTCTTAAAACCAACCAAAAGCGGTCTCCCCCCCAAAAAGACAAACCCATTGGTGGTGCGAAATAGATTGCTTCCGCACAGTAGTAGGGATCCCCAATGAACTCGGAAAGCAAGGGGAGTCAGCTTGAAGTCAAACATCTTAGAGTTGGCTGATATCGGGGGAACCCGGAAGAATAGTTTCTGTTCAGTCCCATCAACGGCCTTCAAGCATAGTAGTCTCACACACGGTTGTTGTAAAGGCTCTAAGATTCTACTCCCCTTGAAGCGGGGGGCTTGGGGCGCTGCCCGAGTGTTGGTTGCGTGACCTTTGGATGGTTGATGAGGATACATCTTGCAGCTATCCCCTCACCCGGACGAAGCCACAAGTTCCGAACAAAAACCCGACACACTGACCCTTTTTGCTCTTTTGAATCCACGCTCCACCAAACCAAGGGTTGTCCAAATCAAGGCCCGTGGGTCAGGATACTCAACTGCTAAGTCTGTGGTCCTCCAGCAGACCCCTTTCCTCGCTCGCCGCTGGGTTTGTGACAGTCTTTCCGTACGGTTCCCTTCCCTATTACAAAAACCAGCAAGGCAAAGGCTGAGCAAACCAGGAAACCACCCATTCCCGAAAACAATCCTTGATTATCTACTGCACTGCCTACTAGGTCCTCAAGTAGAGAGGTTAGAATACGGGCACCATTTTTTTTTCTGTAGTCTATTTGAGTGGGGGAACCCTCCCAACCAAAAAAGAAAGGGTGACAGGTCGGGCACCTAGCTGGGGGACCTAGCCTAGGAAAACCCAACATCGGCTTCCCTGATTTCAGACAAACCAAACCAGCCGCCCCCGTTCACGTCGAAGGTGCTCGAAGAGATGCAGAGCGGCAACCCAGGAGTCGCAGGCGCTGATGGCTGCGTTGAAGTGGATGACCTGGGCTTTTTGCTTATGGATGCGAGTGCCTGGCACTCCGCTTTGTTGTGGTTTTAAGGGGGACACCAAAAGGAAACCACCATTTGGGGGTGCAAACCGACTACCTGGAGTGATCGTCTATTCTTTTTGCCAACCCACTCAGGAAAGGAAACAAACAAACAAACAAACAAACAAACAAACAAACAAGCAAGCAAGCAAGCAAGCAAGCAAGCAGACAAACACCTGGAGTCTCCGGATCTGACCCTTTGAACATGGTTGGTCATTACCCAAAATCATGGTTGGTCATGGACCCATTTTTGATTCGGGTCAGAAGGAGACTCCAGGTACCTGCAAAGAGTTCACTAAATGGGTGGCTCGTCTTTTTTGCGTTGGTGCCCTGTTTTTTTTCTTTTCCAGTCCCCAAATACAAGACACCCACATAGTGTGTGGCCAGTCGAACGGAGACGTGGTGCTACTTTGGGGAAGTCAATTTTTGAGAAAATGATGGAACTCCAAAAAGGGGAAAGGTCAAAGCCACACTTAGTCCGTATGGGGCAAACCTACTTTTTAGCACCTGGAGTCTGCTTCCAACCCCGGAAAAACTGAGGTAGTCTACCCCGAACATCAGGGGTCACCCCACTTTCAAGGGCGCAGGTTTGGTGGATGCGGATTTGCAGGTTTCCTGCAAGAAGCGGCAAAGCGAAGCGAAGGCGTCGGTTGCCCAGATGAGCCTCCAACCACTTCTTTACCCCAAAAAGAAACTGGATTGGTGTACCCCAAAAATCAGGGGTCACCCCAAAAATCAGGGGTCACCCCATGTTCTAGGGTCTTTTCGATCCCTAGACTCCAACCACTTCGTTACAACCCAAAAATAATCCCCGCCGGCGGGACGGCGGGTCGGGAGCCATGCGGCGTTGACCTCGCAGGACAGCCGGCAGGCGGCATCCAGCAGGGCGGGCGCTGAGGAGGGCTTTCGCCTTCGCAGCTCCCCTCAGGGCAATCAGTCGAGGCGTCGGTCGGTTGCGTCGAGCAGTCGCGTCGGTCGCGGAAGGCAAAAGATCTGGGATTCTAGGGGTTGATTCCCCATCCTCGTTCTTTTCAGAATCCGATCGCCGTTTTTGTCTGGGTTTCTGGGGGTTGTCCAGAAAGAAAGAGTCCTGGAAAGAATGGGGAAGGCACCCCTAGAGGTATTCAAAAGCCCCTAATAATAAACTGGGGTTGATTAAGGTCGACTTCGGTGTGGGATCTTAAAGTAGGGGCTCCCCCAACAATGGCGGAGTTAAACAGGTATTCCCCCAAAATAGGGGATCCCCCCCAAAAACCCAACCAATCAGGGTTTCCCAGCCAGCAACGAGGCCTATGGCTGTGTCCTCAAGCTCAATGTTGACCCCGTATTAATCAACCAACCTGTTTATTAATAGGGGGCCCTCCAAGAATATGACTCTGGCCATCCGAGGACCCTTTGCCGGGCTAGGACTAGAATTGGGGCCCCATCGGACAACAACGCAAAAAAAAAGAAGCCGCGGAGATGTCGCCGGAAGCCGATATGCGCAAGCCGCAGGTGTCTTTAGCTCTGATTTAGTTTCAGGATGCCGTGCGTGTGAATGAATTTCTGACTGCCCCAAGCTGTGCCAGACCTGACTATCCAACTCACTTATGCGCCCATCCTGACCAACCGACCCACCCACCAACCAACCAATCAACCAATCAACCAGCCAGCCAGCCAGCAAGACAGGCACCCAGCCAGCCAGCCCTAAAAGCAGAATAATTCCTACACAACACAAACACATCATCCTTTAGAGTCCAATTTCCGCGCCTAAGCAGGTGGTCAGCGTCCTGGCATCCAGCAACTGCAGCTCTTCCCCCCTCAAAAACGCCTCCACGACGGCATCCGCGCGCATCCGGCTCGCATCCGGGGGGGCGAACCCCGGCTCCCAGGGAGCTGGGCACTGCTGGGCAAAACTAAACGCTACAAATACCCGCGAAAGTCACCCCACGCCGTCCCAAGCATGCGGTCGCGCGTGGAATCGCAATGCAGACTTTCAGTGGGGTATATCACGATTCCCTCTAAACCCGAAGTCTAAGGAATCTGGAGCTTTGGTCAACTTGAGAGCAACCCATTGGACGTCGTCCTAAACATGTGTTGCGAAAATATCCTCGAGATGGGTAACTTGAATGGTCTTAACAGTCGGTAATTTCTAGTCACGGAGCCCACGAGGTGACTTGATCAACTTGGCTAGAAATCCGAGCTGCAATTTGGATTCTCAAAATGGGGGAACCCATTTTCATGGCCGGGGCTTCCTTTGGCGTTTGAGGGCAACTCCACTCCAAGCTAACATCCGAATGGCGGTGGGTCAACAAAAATGCGTACCCAACATGGCTTGCCCTGGGAAATGGAAACAAGGACCAAAACCTGCGGTCCATATCCTGGTGGAATAGTTTTGACCCACATCCAAATGTTGCCCACTGCATGAGTACCCATAATTTCTGGAAGGCTCCTTCAAAGTGCAGCTCCGCGAACATCCATGTGGCCCTGTCTTCTTTTGAACCCTTTGCGGGGTTTATTTACAGGAAAGCAAAAGGAAAACACCATCTCTTCTGTTTCTTTTTTTGGAGTGGGTCCCCTGTTTTAACACACCCAGGTGTTCTTTTCTCGGGCTTGCAATATGCACGTTCGTTTACAGCATGGTCAAATCTGATGGTTCTGGATAGACAGGAATCCATTACCATCCGATCCAACCACAAGTACACGTCTCCGTGGTTCTGGGACCGGTCTTATGACCATGCCAAACAAAGCTTCAGGGGATGGTATCCAGCGATGCAGCGCCCCTTTTTCGGCGCGTGAAGAAACGTCTCACCGCTCCCTTTAAGCGCCACTGGCCACGGATATGTGTTGACTTGGATCGTTCGTGGCAGTCTGCAGCAACCAAACATAAGGAACGCAGAGCAAAGACACCTTCTTGGGCGAAATCGGACGCAACTGCTTGTTTGCGAGGTGGACATAAGTTTCTCCAGATCCATGGTGATTGAGGTATCGTCGAGGTCGCAAACTCAACACCGGGTGCGTCCATGTTTGAGGCTCGGTACCCTTTTTGGGGTTTGATGTTTGTCGGGAAACCAAAAGGCAACCGCCGCCTGAGTCAAGGGTTCCCCTTTGAGACAAATCCAACCTTCCTAGGTCCTCCAGTAGAGAGGTTCAAATACGGGTACCAACTTTTTTTTTGTAGTCTATTTTAGTAGGGGAGCCCTCCCCCAAAAAAGGGGAGAGAAAGGGCACTACTGGGAGACCTAGCTGGTGTTCGGGCGAACATTGTCATGTGCTTTGTCGCGGCCCGCCCGCTCATAGCTTTGTGAAGGTGCCTTCTTCGATGCCCCACTCCTGCGGAGTTGTAAGGCTTGGAGCCTTGGCGTAATGGATGAGTTGACCCCTCAAAATGGGCTGGTTTCCTTGGTTTCCCTCTTGAAGCCATGGCCTCTGACAATTCTCTGAAAAGGAAACTCCCAACTTCAGCAACGCTCTGCGAGCCTGAGTGGACACAAAATGCTTTTTCGGCTTGGGCAGCTACCCATCATTTCCCATTTTGAGGAGTGGTTTGAGGGTCCAGGCAGATCCCGCACACAGCCCTTTGGCTCCTTGTACATGAATGCATCCCCACGGCCAAGACTCCACAACATGTCCTCCCACACCGGCACGTGACCTCAGCGCCATCTGTTCGTCCGTTTACACGGCCAGGATTGACCAACATCACAACGTTGTGTCTTGGTGCACTCTGCCACATTGCAAACATTGGACTCACCGAACAATCCTGCGAGCCTTGCTTCAAGAGGAAGTTGAACATGTGATTGCAGGATACTGGCAAAGCGCCTGTGTCACTGCAAGTTGTGAACCTTGTTGTAAACCTTGATGCTCCCATTGATGTGAACAACCCATCGGTTTCTTTGTGTCCCTTGATCCTATGGTTGAGGCACAAGGGTAAGAGTTGAGCTGGTTCTGTCGTGGCTGCTGCGGCTGTCCGTTGCGGGCTGCGGCCGGCGGTGCAAAGCCGAGAGCGGGCGCAACTCCCCCAATTTCCCCAATTTCCCCAACCCCCCCCCAACCCTCCAACCCCCCAACCTCCCCTCTCCAAAAACCCCCGCAGCAAATCCCCACCCCCAGCTGCAAATCCCCCACCCCCTGCTCCCCCCCCCCCCTGTGCGGAAGAAACAAACAATCCCGCCCCCAGCTAAAATCCCCCCCTGCAAAAAAAAAAAACAAAAAAACAAGAGAACAAACAACACGTGTGTGGTTTGTATTCTCTTTTGCCGCCGCGGAGCAATTCCTCACGGTGATCATGCCCCCCCGCGCCACCAGGAACTGCGCCGCCTTGGCGCATCCTCCATGGAGGGCGCCTGAGCGAGCGAGATCCGCTCGAGATCCGCTCAGCGGGACTCAGAGGGCCACGTTGGTCACCCGTCAGCCGTTTGGGAGGCCGGGGCTTTCTTCCCTGAAATTGGCGCCGGGGCAAAGAAGCGGGAGGGCGGGGACAAAGATGGGGCCCGATCTTTTTTCTTGCTGGATTCATAAAGACTCTCAATGAATCAAGGGGGACGCCTTGGGGCCCATGTGAAGACTGCAGCCTGTGAGAGGCTCAGAACTTCCAAACTGATTTATCAATGTCGGATCGTACTGAGAGCCCCCCCTCCCCTGAACACAAATACTGTGGGACGACGCCCATTTCGCACCACTTGGGATAGATGAAACGATGAAGAACCATTTGTAAAAAAAGGGGTAAGCCACGAATCCCAACTGGTGCAAAATGGATCTTATTCATCCACAATATCATCTCCATGAAGGGACTCCTCCTACCCACGTGACTGAGGCTGGCACAATCTACAGCGTTGTAGTTCCAGAGCACCGGATTGATCTCGTTAATATCCTGCAACCCATAGCCCGCCCGTGAAATGAACTGGGTATGTGTCAAATTCGCAACAAAATCCACAAAAGGTATCCTCAAAGTAGACCAAATTCTGCCACACATCGAGATGAATCAGAAGACTTCATCAACCTAGCGGGAAATCACCTGTACTTACGAACCTTGCGCGAGGTTGCGCGCCATAATTTGCCCTGACAGTCTCAAAAGGGGGCAGAATAGTCTTGAACTCCGGGGGGCGGCCTCTCCTCAGCTTTCTGAAGGCACGCACTCCGCTCTGTTTTTGAGGTATAAACCAAAAGGACAACCACCATGTTTTGTCTTCTTATCTTTTTTTCCCCCTACAACAAGTCACCCCCCCAAAACACTAATTTGATGTGGCTTGGCGTTTCAAGGCGGAAGCTATGCAACCAAATGCAACGCCCAGGAGCGCTGCTGGCTCGGCCAAACCTATACTTCAGTCAGACAAAGTTTATGCTTTTTGGCTGTTTCAAAAAGATACTATCGGGTCAGCGGCGGATCGAATTAACAAGTGCGTTTTGTGTGGCAGGCGTTGGACAGTCAATTATCACCCTGTTTTAAATTTATAATCATAAAAGGCTTCCCGGGTCCAAAATTGACCGCGCGTACCCCCGTAGGTCTCTTCATGAAGGATTCTAGGGGGAAAGGGCTTCAATCGCTTTGACCTTCAAGAAGCGCAACTTTTGTCTGGCCAGTGTATGAGCCATATTGACTCCTAGGGGGCCGGGAGCCAAGCAGCTCAGGTGGTTCTCACCATCCAACTGTGTATCAAAGGGTGGTGGTTGGTGGTGCTTGGTGGTGCTTGGTGGTGCTTGCTGGTGGTTGGTGGTGGTTGGTGGTTGGTGGGGTCTACCCAAAGCCATCAGAGTAAAAAGGGACGTCACTTATTTTTTTCTGGCCAGCAGTGTCCCTCACTCCATGGCATTTTAACAAAGATGTGGGTGTGGTTGGAATCGGACCCCCTGACTTGGCTTGGGGTCTCCTTTTCCCTTTAAAGCCAACCAAAAGGGGCACCCAAAAAACGACAGACCCATGTGTACTATGTGTACCTTGTATTGGTGGCAACAATCAAGAACCACGCAATACATACGGATTGCGATTTTCTCACAACTGTCACCAGGTCGCGGGAGTTTGGTCGTATCAGTTGCTTCGCAACTACTCGAGTAGGTATGCACGATACACCCCGGTCATGTTGAATCCGGAAAATACTCTCAAGTTCGCATTGCCTGCGCCCAAGTCGACACGGGAGCAGGTCCTGCCCATTTTGCAGGTATTCATCGATGCGGGGGATGTCCCCGGCAAAGCAGGCGCCCCACCAGGAGTAGTTGGAGCCCATACTCCTGGCACGGGATCGAAGACTTCAATGCGCAACCTACCTGGTGGGCTTCATCACCATGGTTACAAGCCAGCCAGCTCCTATTCTCCCACTATGGTGGTGTTCCAAGTATCGGGGCACTATAATTCCCAAACCGTAAACAAGGAAGGCCAGAGTGAGGGTGAGTTTGTTTACACCAGGTGATTGTTAAACCATGTCCAGAGTGAGGGGATGATGCTTGCGGGGAACCTGTGGGTAAGCTTCGACCAAAGAAATCACCGGTGTCCAAAATCCAAGTGGCGCTGATTGACCCATGGGTTACTTTTTCTCTGATTTCTTGCCACCTGCGGTTTGGGCTCAATCCCACAAAGGGTGTCCAAAAGAGGTCCGCACCAACCTGCACGTGGCTTTGGGTCCAGCAAAGGTCTCCTGACAAAGGTTGGCTTAATGTTGGCTGAAGTTGATCACAAAGCGGCTGCACACATCCTTTTCACCCTGCAAGTTGCACAAGGGTGTGGACCCCCGGCGGGTTGCAACATCACCAAGATTGCCGATTTGAAGTGAGCTTCCCTTCGGCGTGATGCTTCAGGGAAATTGGCAGCTCGGCTTTGTTTTTTAAACATCAGAGCTTCCCAAATTGGTGGGTGTTCTTTGGTTTCCCGCTAAAACCACCCAGCATGGTAATATATCCAAGTGGTTATTTTACTAAAAATGCAATTTCCATAAACAGTTATTCAAATATAATTCAACCAAAACAATCAAACACCTCTACAAATACCAACCAATGCATAAACAAACAACAAACAACAACAACTACAAACAACTACAAACAACTACAAACACAAACAAACACAAACGAACAAGAAACAGCAACAACTACAAACAACTACAAACACAACACACAAACAAACAAGAAACAGCAACAACTACAAACAACTACAAATACAACACACAAACAAACTTAAGACATATATCAAGTAAACCATTTATGGCAATGATTCATCGGTTTATGGCCCTTGAGGACCCGGCAAATGCTCTACATTTTTGCCGGGTAAGTCGAAGAGCGGGCCAGTTGCCCCTTGTTTGGTTTGAGAAACCAAAAGGACAGCTGTGACAGCCACCAATTTGGGGGGTCCCCCCCACACAAAAAGGACATGTCCCAAAAAGAGATTCCGATCTTAAACAACGTTGCTTTTTGAGGCCCAGCAAAGTCGCCAAATCAGAAGTCGAAGCGTTCATTCTTTAGATCAAATCAAGATAATATGGAAGAAGCAGCCAGCCCAGCCATCCAACAAACCCACCAACCCACCGCCAATCAAACCAACCAACCAAAGGTTGGGTCTGGGAAGTCAAACCAAGAGGAGCCAAAAGCAGTCACCGGGCTGGAGATGAATCCGCCCGCCTCAGGTAGTCGGCAATCTCCACCTGGAACAAATCAGGGGGGCGGGGGGTGAATGAACTTTGCCCTCCCTCCAACATTCATGGAAGCTGACCGGAGGGTCTTGGAAGACTACTTTCCTGAACCTCCATGTCCACTTCCCTGATTGTTGGAAAGAGGGTAATATTTGGAACCAACTTCTGCGCCTACCGAGCGAGGCCTTAAGACCTGATTCCTTGCTATCACTCAAAAGTGAGAACCAACCCCTCGTTCCAACAACCATATGGTGGGACTTGCTAATACTTGCCATCCCCATGAGTCATGAGGGCACCCTTTTGAGGGCACCCTTTTGAGGGCCGCTTTTTCTGCGTGCATACCCAGAAAGACCCCAATGAATGGGAACCGCCGGGGTCGCATTGGAAAAACTCTCGGCTCGCCAGCTGCGGCGCATTTCTCCAGTCTTGAAACCCAGTGACCCTGCCAGAAACAAAGGGCCCCTCCGTTCTAAGTTGATCACGAGTGGGGACCCACGAAGCGAAGACGAGAAAACCGGGCGCCGCGAAGCAGTGAGGCAGCATATCCCATCATTTTGGTGATCACTTCCTGACACGCTGTGGTTCCTCAACAAAAAACGTCATTTATTTGCCACTCAAAAAAATGGGTCTTCTCCCAAAACACATCCAAGGATCTCAGGGGAATAAATATCGCTCGTAGGTGGCCTTTTGGAAAAACCGATGGCCCTGGTAAATGAAACAAAACTCATCTAAACCAGTGGAACCCATCTATTTTTAACCAGGCTCACCTAAAAAGGACACCGATGACAACAGCTGGTGGGGTTCCACATGCATACCCTTCAAATGACCAATGATGAGACTTAGTTGCCCTCTTCTTTAGTTGTCACCGTGCGTGGTCAACAACTAATTACCGAATATTATTCCGCCCTTAAGAGGCTGGTTTCATGCCTGCCATCTTGACAGCCAATGGTCAACTTTAAGCGGATGGCCCACATCCCTTAAGTTCGAACACTCATGTTTTCTTCAGAGCCCACTGCTTCCCTAGAATCAAAACAAACATACACCTAGGGACCTTCGCCCACCTGTTTTCTTTCCAGCCTGGCATGTCCTGTTGGAGGGCGCTGTTGTCAGTTTGAAGGGACTCTAAGTCCAGACATCGGTGGTTCCTCAGATCCGTATGTTTTCATCCACCGTCCCCTTCTTGACAGGGGTTTTTGTCGGTCTCCAACAGGAAACCAAAGGAAACTCAACAGGGTGCTCCCCTTTTGGTAGCGAAACCCAGAGGCAACAAGCCGACCTCCAAACCGATGACTTGAATACCGAGGTATGAAGCCTCCTCGTTGGGCCAGCGGAACTGCTCCTGACGGAAGTCTTTTCTTTTCCGCTTTGGGGAACTTGCTTCTATAGGGCTTGATTCTAGGAACTTGATTCCGCAATGCGTCCTTTTGTTGAGGGAACCTTCTTTTTTGTTGAAAGGGAAACCAACAGGAAAACCTCTAGGGTTTGATTCCGTTTCCATTCTTTTCAACCATCGTTCTTTTCAAAAACCGATCGCCGGTTCCCCTCGGTTGATTGAGGTTTCTTTAGAAAGAAGGATCCCTGGAAAGAATGGGAAAGGTACCCCTAGATTGATGGGTGGTTCTCAAAGGGGAACCCTTCTGGCTTCCCTGAAACAGAAACAGGCAAGGTGATTCTCAAAATAGGGGAAACCCTAAATGCTTTGGCTCTTCTTCTAAATTTCTTAACAAGAGGAAAATAAGGTGTGTTTCTAAAGGGGAACCCCAAAATGGCATGGTGTTCCCTTTGGCTGCCCTTAAAAACAACAAAATGCGAGGGTACCAACTCAAAAAAAGACGAGCCGCCCATGTAGGGGTATGTAGGGGTTTTGGTTTGAGGCTCGGACTCCCGTTTCTGGATTGAACGGAAAGGAAACCAACAAGAGAGCACCCAAAATTATGGGGTGGGATTTAAGGGAAACCAAAACGATGCCAATCACTTCGGGGGATCCCCTATTTTGATCTGGACCCGCCATTGAACCCCTACTTTCTCCCTTTGGCCCACACAAAAAAAGGTGCAAGCAACTCGAGTGAGGTCGTGATTTCCTTTGCCAAGCAGCATGTGTAAGTACACATTCTCGGAGCTTGAAGGAGACCGCGTGAGTAGCATGTTTGGGTTACACTCCCTGAGACTAACATGGAAGCTCCCAGAAGGCCTCTGTAAATGGAACCAAGTCTTCCAAAGGGGTCCTGGGAGCTTCCATGTTAGTCTGGGGGAGGGTACAACGTGACGGAGTTCAAAGAAACATCCTACGCACCAAAGGTGTGGGTGCTTCTGTTGCCGAAGCCTGTAAACAACCCAAAGAAGTTGCATAACTCCGCGGGGAAAGCTGCAGGTCCGGACAGTTGGGCTTCTCGAAAAGCCCAGCAAATGGCTCAAGCCCCCTGTTCCCCCTTTAAGTTGCACCAAGTTCCCTTTTGTCCCATAAAACAACCAAAGCGAACATATATGGCACCCCCCCGAAAGAAAAACACGTCGCCCATGTTTGGGTCCATGAGAGAACCGCCCACCGCGTTTTCATTTTTTTTCCGCCTTGCCAGCGTAGTCCATGGCCCGAAAGCCGCATCTGGACATGGGCCCATCCATGTCAACTTCCTCAAACTCCACCAGCCACTTCACCAAGTGGAACCTGACTCGCGCAGTCTCGCCGCAGTCCAAAAAACACGGAGCAGGACCCCCCCCACAAACCCCCCCAAAACCATTCGTAGAGGGAACTGCGCAAGGGTCTGGACGCAGAAGCTTTCACATGGAAGGAACCCCAAAAAAACAATTCGTAGAGGAAACGCGGCTCTCTCCCCTACAAATTAAAGGAAGGAACCCAAACAACTTGTAGGGGAAACAAGGCTTTCTCTCCCACAGATTGAAGGAAGGAGCCCAACAAACAACTTCTAGAGCGTCTTTGGGAATTAGACTCAAGAGGGATTCCTTCCTGCAATCGTGTGCGTGGTCAACATGTTGCTGAACAAATGCGAGGATGTAGCCGACCATTTCTGCCACTCTGAGGAAATGCTATGGGAATGCTCTTTTCTTGTTTGCGAGTACTTTCTTCACGTTGGCGTAAAGAGAAACCAACAGAACAACCATTTGTCAATTTATCAATATCTCTATTTTCCAGACATTCCCTTGGTACCTTCTAAGGAGGTACTGAACGACCCGACCCCTTTCGACCCCCCAGAAGCCATCCTGAGGTATCAAGGGGCCCTCTGGGTTTTGCTACACGCCTTTCAGCTTCGCAGGTCTACACTTGAGAAATCCACCAACGAAATCCATGCAACGGACTCGAAACAACGAAATAGCTGGTCGAAAAACCTTGAACCCTGTTGGTCCCTACCTGGGGTCTCCATGACCCTTTAAAAATGGGTCCATGACCAACCATCATTTTGGGTACTAACCCCATTTTTAAAGGGTCAGATCCGGAGACTCCAGGTATGTTCTTTCACAACCTTTGATCACAGCCGTTGGATCCCGTGAATGCAGCACAAACTTTTGGGGAATTCGAACCTCATGGAGCTGGCCAATGCAACTCCGCTTGCTCCAAGCAGCCTACATCTTTGGATGCTGTTTAAGAGCACCCAAGAAGCCAAAAGCGGAACAAAATCCCAAAAAAACCTAAAACAATCCTAAAACAAATACCCCTCCGAGGAAAAAAAAAGAAAGGCCTTCAACCATCCTAGCAATTCTCTACCCGGCCCAAGTTCGGTCCTTGCCTTGAGCTTTTGATCAACCCTTTTCACCTTCGAAGAACGGCCAAGGTCCGAGCCAGCCGAGTTGGCAGGCGATCATCAACCTGCGAGACACAGAGAGCGCCACTTTGGGATCGGGGTGAAGTTAATGAACCTGCAGTGATTAAGAACGCGGCGAGATCCTGCAATGTTAAAGGAAGCTTTTGCGGTGGTCTAAAGAACACCTAGAAGATCTTGTTAATAATTAAGAAAGCTCGTTCCGTGTTTTAAACAAACGCTGGAATGCCCTGCACTGATTATGATTAGGACACCTTTCAACAAACCCAAACCCTGGTGTTCCAACAAATGATCTGCCAAACAAGTATCATGACATCCAAAAACTGGTCAACTCGGTTTTAGTCAGGATTGATTAAATAAAATTCGGGACACGCAGTTCACTCAGATACATTTCGTCGAGTTTGTTATATATTGGAAAGGCCGCTCCCAGAGGGCAAGGCTCTATATTTTTGGACCACAATGCATGCCTCAAGCTACAGAAAACTACTCGCACCCCCGATTTCCGAGGGCAACTAGCTTGAGACCCAAACTGAATGAGGGTGCGTCCCCCTTTCTCCCCAGGGCCAACAGGCCATAACAGGACAGCCATGTTTGGGGCCCTCCTCTTGGTGGTAGTGTCCCCTTGACACTCCCAAGGTTTTGCAAAGTGAGACTCAGCCAAACAAAAGCCCTGTATGGTTGCTGTTGACCCCCCGCTGGAAAACGTTTTGTTTTGACTTCTTGTGGGTTCAATTCGGAAAACCCCTTGATATCAACCTAGAAGCGAAAGTCGAAAGATCCGTTGCCCAATACCTCCATTTGCTCAAGTCCCCTGGAACATTTTTTCCAGTAGCGATAGATTCCCATTAAAGCCAACAGGGGAAAATCATTGAAAACATTCTTAACCAAATGGAAGAAAATTGCAATCAAGTCCTGGTCTTCGGCTTTTCTCATTCCGAGCCACAACAGCTCCGAGCGAATCGGAAGTCTGTGTCCGAGGCGCGGTGTCTTGAGGTCTTGGTCCAAGGGCGCGTCCTTGTCGGCGCCTTTCAGGATGAGGTCGTGCACCTGGCGAGATCTTTGTTCGTGACCTGAATCAGCCACTTGGATGGGCCCAACCCTCAAACTGACCACAAATCAACGACCCTTAGAGTGCCCATAAATAAACCTACTTGGATATTCAACGTACTTATGACCAACTGACCCTCCTGCTATGCGTTTCTTGCCGCGGTTGTAACCCACTTGCTTCACTTGATCGTCCAGGCAGCTAGTTCTCAGTAATTTCGAGGTCCATCTCACCCAGGATCCCCCGGCCTGGAACCCACAGAAAACAACAAAAAAACAACCCACCGGACTACACTGGAGAACATGCGTTGGGCGTGTCTTGTTGTAGGGGACCCCCAAAAAAATGGTGGTTTCCCGTTGGTTCCGCATTTCAAAACACCAAAACGGGACCCTCAAAAAACGAATCACCCGCATGAGGGATAGGCAGGAGCACTTCCCGATTCAAACGATCCAGCCTATATGGCTTCAGACTAGATGGTAACATCTCGGGCCAAACGGATCCGAACCCCCTACAAACCAAACGTTATGTACGTATACATATATATATATATATATATATATGCACATATGTGTACATATATATATATAAGCATCTGTATATATATATATATACATATGAGAGCTAAGTCGCGATGCTTTTGGCAACGTGTGTAACCCCGACCAGCGAGCAACGGGGCTCTTGCTCTTTGACTTCGTTGCCTGCTGCCTTTTCGCTCGGATGCCTAAGGTCTCCGCCTAGACTGGAGAACCATGGGCTTTGCGAACCGGAATGCAAGTCGCTCAGGGGAGACAATGCGCACACAGTGCATGTTGAAAGTAATTAAAGGTTGCATGTTAGATCCCTTGTCTTCTAGATTTGGAACCCGTCAAACTGCACGCATATGTGGAGTCGCCCGTGGTTCCCCAAAGGGGATTGCCCGAAAACACAATGCGTGTTTGTCTGCGGACTCCACGTTGATCTGCAGAAGAGTGTTACCACCCTCAAAACAGGGAACATCACTGAGAAAAAAAACACAGTCCAAAATATCCCGCACCCTTCGGGTCACATTGACGTAGGGGCAATTGACATACCCGAATGAGCCCTTAAGTTGTGTATTTTTCAACAGCCGAGACCGGCTCCAAATGGCCTCTGTCTGTGCTTCCGTTGGCGACACCTTTGATGCTGACCCAACACAGCTTGCCACACCTCCTGAATGCTGCCCTTGACGCAAGCCTGGCGGGCAGAGATCCCCACCCAATCGTGCATCTTCGTAAAGGCCCCTGAACCGGAGTTCAGAACAATGTCGTTATAATCAGGATCATTCTCATGTTCATGATCATGGTCCTCCTCCTCTTCCTCCACCTCATCATCGTCTTCATCATCGGCATGGTCACCATCACACCTTGATGCCTGCTTTTGGGGCAGCCGCCTTACCTTTTGTCTCCGAGCGAAAACTGGCCCGTTGGCTGCCGAAAAAGGGATTTCTATCTGGCCTCTTCCAATTTGAACTCCAGCTCTGGCAAGCTGTCCCGAAAAAAGTCATTGGTGAAGCGCTCTGGATACGGCCTGGCCGGCGTTGGGAAACTCATGGCACACGTCAACACTGTCGACGCTAGAGACCCTTTTCGGGGCGGACCTTGTCAATGGAGGGAGAGAGAAAAGAGAGAGACAAAGACAGAGAGAAAAAAAAAGAAATAAAGAAAGAAAGAAATAAAGAACAAATAAATATACAAAGAAAGAAGGAAGGAAGGAAGGAAGGAAAGAAAGAAAGAAAGAAAGAAATAAATAACAAATAAATATACAAAGAAAGAAGGAAGGAAGGAAGGAAGGAAGGAAGGAAAGAAAGACATAAAGAAAGAAAGAAAGAAAGAAAGAAAGAAAGAAAAGAAGAAAGAACATAATAAATAAATACATAAATAAATAATAAATAAATAAAGAAAGAAAGAAAGAAAGAAATAAACAAAGAATGACAGAAACACTTGAATACAATAAGAAAGAAAGAAAGAAAGAAAGAAAGAAAGAAAGAAAGAAATAAAGAAAGAAAGAAAGAAAGAAAGAACAAAATAAAGAAAGAAACAAAGAACAAAATAAAGAAATAAATAAATATAACAAAATAAATAAATAACTTAAATACACAAAACAAAGAAAACAACAATAAATGAAATAAAATTAAATACATAAATAAGTTTTTTATTTTATTTGTTTAGAATAAATACATACACAAATACATAAATGAAGCAAGACAACAAAAATACATAGATAAATAAATAAAAGAAAGACATAAAAAAAGAAATAAATAAAAAGAACGACATAAAATAAAGAAACACATAAATGAATAAATAAATAAAGACATAAATGAAATAAATAAAGAAAGAAGGAACGAAAGAAAGAACAAAATAAAGAAAGAAAGAAAGAAAGAAAGAACGAAAGAACAAAATAAATAAATAAAGAAATAAATAAATAAAGAAATAAAGAAAGTAAGAAACAAATAACGAAAGAAAGAAATAAAGAAAGACAGAACGAAAGAAACAAAGAGACAGAGAGGACTCCTGGCTCATTATGCGGTCCTCAGAACAGGCCCGTTGCAGGCTCGGGGTCCTCCACCATCATCAGGTCTCATTGAAGGGGTTGCAGCTTTCTTTGACCCTTCCCAGCTCCAGGACTGACAAAAGACACATTGGTGGCTGGTCTTTTTGTGAGCGTGCCCATTGAGGCAGTTTAGGACACAAAAGGAACAACCGCCATTTTTTGGGGGTCCAACCTTAAAAAGACTACCTGTGCAGGGGTTCCTGAAAGACCATTTTCCTTTCAGGGGACTTTTGGTGGAGGTTTCCCGCCTGTTTTTGGGAAATATGTATCTCGTCACGGACGGACTGCGAACCCCGCACCTCTCGTCCAAAGGTGGGTAAACTGATGGAGCTTCCGGCAGAGAGTTGAAGAGCTCTGCCCAAATCTCGGAGCATTCAATTGGGCGTGTCATTTGTTACCCAGTGGATCCAATTTCTTGGTTTTGTAGGTAACCAAAAAAGCCACCCTGTAAAACCAAAAGGAACATCAGTGGTTACCTCGATGCAAAGGGGCCGTTGGTCGCCATTAAAAACACACACACACACGCACTGACCCAAATTCAAACAAAGGTTCAGCAATCAGCGGGGTGCCTTGTCAATTTCTCATGGATTGGCCAGAAAGTTCACACTGTTTTCTGCCATTAAACTAGTCTACACTCACAGTATCAACTCCAGCACCTCTTGTGTGTGCGGGTTGCTCTGGCCCGGCCCAATGCGTGACCACAGCAGCCAAACGACCCACCAAACCTCACGACCGCGAAGAGTAGATCGGGATTTACGCATTTGTTCCATGGTCGTTGGGGGCCCAACCGAATATTGGTCAACCCCCGCGTTTAAACCACTATTCTTTGCACAGCCTCCCTGCTTCCACCAGACCTCACTAACACACTGGCAACAAATCTAAGCATTGGACAGCTCCGCCAGCCATGGTGCCTGCTCTGACAGGGTTCCCAAAAGCAACTGGAGAGCGGGGAGTGGCGGAAAACAGTGAAGTCCGATTTATACAGTTGTGTGTATGTCGTTTGTTAGTTGACCCCCCCAAAATCCCCCAAAAATGGTGGGTTTCCTGTTGGTTGCCCTAAAAACCACTCAAGACCGGGCATCCCAAAAACACCAACCCATTTCTTTCAAGAGAGAATGAAGGGTGAGGGGGTGATCCTGACCACGCAAATCCCAACTCCTAAGGGGCTGAACTTGGTACCTCCAGGACCTCTGGCTTTCTCTCGAGTTGCTGCCAGGGATTGGCCCGAAGCTCCGAGCTGCCAAGGCTTCCCCCGAAAAAGGCGAATCAGTCGAATCGGAGGTGCGAACCAGAGGCGGTGAGTGAATCCGAGGCCCCAGGATGCTGAGGGGTTTCTATGGGGGAATCTATGCAGGTGAGTGAAGTCGATGGCACAATTCCCCCACGTTTGCTCCGGCATCCCCTTTACGCACCCAAAGGACATGTTTACTTTCACCCCGGCGCAAACAACATGATTGTGTTTCTCACTGGAGCTGATCTTCAGACTAGATGTTATGATTCAGGAAAGTTAGTTTCGGTAGAAGTATTCGCCTATTTGGGGTAGGCTGGGTGGCTCTTACAAATGGGGGACCCCTAAAAAAAGGGTGCCTTCTGGTTTAATAATGTTTACTATCTGTCTACCTTGCCGAGAAGCCTCAGGTCATTGCCTATTCGTCTTTGCAGTCATTATCAAAACCTGAAATGACACTGGTCTAGTCTACCCAAACCCGGGTAAAGCCTTAATCAGGCGGCCGCGCCATTTTATACTTGGCCCAGGTCAAGAACTTATCAGGCGGCCGCCCCTTTTTGTGGTTGGGAATATCCCTTACTCACCTTCATCTTCCCGGGTCTGGATTGTGGCTATGATTTTATACAGGTTATGGCCAACCTGGTTGCAAAGGTTTGTCATGGAAACAGCCGCCTTGAACCCGCACGACTTTGGTGGTGCGGCCAGGTCTTATACTGTTCGAGTAACTAACCGTTACTCTATACCATTGCCTTTTGTCATGGAAACAAAAAGAACCCCGCCCCAACAGCCAGGTCTTCATTACGAAATTTCTTGTGCCTTAGCACCAAGGCCCGTCCGAACGGGTCACATGAGCCAAAGCTGCGGCCAGGAGCTCGAATTCTGAAGGACCCTCGTTGGTGGCTTGATTGCGTAAGTGTGTCTCTGTGTACCGGGAGTCTCCATGACCCTGTAAAAATTGTTGGTCATTACCCAAAATAATGGGGTCATGGACCGATTTTTAAAGGGTCATGGAGACTCCAGGTGCGTTTGTACATGTACATGTCAGTGTGCTTGTGCGTGCGCACGAGGGCATTCGGGCTTTCGGGCTTTCGGGCGAGTGCATGGGTGTGCGTGTGTGGGTGTGTGTGTGATCGATTGTGTGAGTGTGCCTGCGCGCGCTTGATGGTGTGTTTCTGTGTTTGATTGTCCGTGTGTTTGTGTATTGATCTACCATGTCTGATTGATATGCTTTATGTTCGGTTGCTCATGCTCAAACCACGCAACATATCACATTAGTATCAGCCAGTCAATATCTTTGTGTAGACAACATGCTGCTTTGGTTTGCCTTCCACAAGTAAAGACACGTCATTTGTGTTTTTACATATGCTATCGCTTCAGCAAAGGTCCAACATTTCAATCGATAAGCTTGCCAAAGCTGCTTTTGCCGTCACCCAACGTATTGCTTCAGTATACTTGGACGAATCAGAAAACAGGATTGGCCGTGAAAACAAACATGCTTGGCGAGGAATCTCAACAAAATAAGCTATATGTAGTTTGGGTTGAACCGCTACTCTCCCAAGTCAAAACTCGGAAGTATCCTGAACATTGCCAGAATAGAACTCTCCTAACGAGAGCTTGCAACAGGCAGGACAGCTCAACACACGACCTTCATGGAAGCAGCTGAATCACTTGCTGACTACATGCGCAACACGTGGCAACCGGAATGCAAGGCTTCGGTGAATCGAGCAAGCAAAGCAAAGCAAGCTGCGCCCAAGATAGCGGCCAAGATTGTCCCTGTGCCAACCCTCTAGACGGGAATAAAAAGGCGCAGTTGTGGGTTATGTTTGGGTTGCAATATCTATCTATCTATCTATCTATCTGTCTATCTATCTAGGTGTGTGTGTGTGTGTGCCTCCCAACAGATGGTTCCAAAAGGACAACCCGGACGTCTCTGCTGTTTTCTGAATCTGCTGGTTGTCCAAAGGACAGGTGGTGCGGATCCTCAGCCAGGCGTCGATGCAGCCGACGTGGTAGACATGCTCACAAGGCAGGCGGCAAACCATCTCCCCCACGTCCAACGTCTGATGACAAATGGCGCAGCTGTCGTGAGCTTCCTGCAACTGCTCGCACGGCAAGGTGGCCAGCACATCAGCCTGAATCCGACACCAACACATCGACACCTCTTTGCTAGTAATCTAGGGGTTGATTCCTTGTCCCTTCTTTTCAACCATCGCTCTTTTCAAAAACCGCCTGTTTCCCCTGGGTTTTTTATTCCAAGAAAGAAGGATCCCTGGAAAGAAGGGGGAAGGCACCCCAGAAGCAAACACAAACATGCTGCCCTTTCCTGGAAGATCAGCGAAGCAAACTGGCCCCAAATCGAAAACCCCAAGAGGCAAACGCCGAAAGTTCGGCCACGCAGCGATCTCTCTCTCAGACTCCAATGCCGCGGCAGTGCTGCGGTGTCCTCGCTCGCGCAAAAGCGTGGTGGTCCATTCATGTACCGTTGCCGCCAGATAGCTCCAAGGCTGCAACTCCTGAGTCAACAGGTCTCAGATTTGATGGAACGTTTGGAGTGTTTTTAACTTACACAACGTGCAGTTCAAATTATGTTTTCCATCCACATCTAGTTGAACGAATTTCTGCGATCTAGATGTCTGACTGGAGAAGAGGCCTGGACAACTGAACAATTCCCTTTTGGGAACATTTACCAGGGTATGGTATTCAGCACCATTCTGTGGCCCTGTGTACAATCTCTCGCAAAGATGTCAACCAGGGAATAAGGAGAAAGCAATGATTGCCCACAAATACTTGCCTACTTGTAACCTTGACACAATCTGCCAGGTTGTCTCACACACGCACATACACACAGAGAAACAGCCACACCGCAGAACGCCAATTTATAATTATATATATATAATGTCGGTTCCTCGAGGCTTGCTTAAAAGGGCGCACCTCATTTTGACACGTTCTCACATCGCGGTGATAATAATGGAATAAGCGATTCCCGAAAAGGACATGGGGCAAATAAGCGAGTCTCCTGTTTACGATTCAAAATTGTCCAAGTTCACCTCGGGTCCCTCCCAAATCAACTTCTGACAAGTTTGAACGAAATCCGCCAAGCCAAGAGGGTGTGGCTTAAAAATCAAGAGCTCGGGTTACGCAGGCTTTGGTCTTTGTTTCCATTTACCAATTGGTGCCGCTTTGGGAATTCCATGTTTTGCGCCACGGCCGCCATTTTGGGGATTCCATTGTTTGGAGCCACAGCCGCCAATTTGGGGATTCCATTTTTTGGAGCCGCTGCCATGTGTTTGAGCCACAGTCGCCATTTTGGGGATTCCCACAGCCAAGACTCATTCGAACTGCCGCCCGGTCGGCCCAATGTGTCCAGCGCCTTGTCCAGTTCCGCCTCCGTGACCTGCGGATGATGGGCCATCCAGCGCCCGATGCTTCGCAGCCGCGCCCGCCGCGTGCAGCAGAGATGCACCCATTGAGGCAGGAGCTGAGGCTCCTGATGTAGGAATCGGCCCCCTAAAACCAAAACAAAAGGGAGTCCACCATTTGGGTATGGGTCAAAATTACACTACCAGGAATTGGACCGCAGGTTTTAGTCCTTGTTTTCATTTACCAGGGTTCCATTCTGGGTACCTGTTTTTTACCCACCCGTTTTGAGACACGCCCACATAGAATTGAGTCTGAATCTTGGCTGCTGAGTCAAGCTGATCAGCCCAAAAAGCGCAAAGCAAATACGCAACTTGCAAATGAAGAAGACCTGGCAAAAACATAATTTAGTTTTAGCTGGTCACTGGAACTGACAACAGTAATAAAAATTGCCGCCAAGTGGAACAAACTGCCACACAAACACACCACAGGAAGACACAATGGGCATCGGCAACAAACACCTGCGACCAAATGCACCAGCAGATCCTGACACCCATACCTGGAGTCTCCATGACCCTTTAAAAATGGGGTCATGACCCCAGTATTTTGGGTAATGGCCCCATCTGTTTAAGGGTCATGGAGACTCCAGGTACATGTTGGCACCAGCAGATCCTGCCATCCATGCATGTTTGCTGACCGAGGTTCCTGCATAAAGCCCACGCGAAGATCTCCAGAGCGAAATTGCTGCCTCGCAAGGCCAAGGATTTGTGCAGCATCACTGGTCGTTTCAGGACTTGGGATGCACACACCGTTTTGTGCGGGTCCCGAAGCGAGGCAAAACAGAAGGCCGAAGGCCGTGTGCCTGAGGCCACTGTTGGATGAGAAAGAGCCCAACCCATGTCGGAGTCGAATGCGGCAGACCCAAAGGAACCCAATCATGTCTTACGCCTGAACTCATGAGGGAACCGTCATGGCTAAGAATTGTCCCTTTCGGGCTGCCAAGCAAGGCCGTGGCGACGGGACCGGGGCCAGGGACGATCAACATGTGTGTCAATATGGGGAGCTGAGGCCCCTTTGTCCACCAAAAGTACTTGGGCCTTTTGTATGCTGACTCTGAACCCTGCCTTACTCATTTCGGTTCCAAAAACTCACCGTTCCCAAACGTGGCAGCCATAATTATTTCACTGCGTTAGGTTCTCATAAGGCTCAACGTTGGCGGTTTGGGAAACCGAGGGAAAACCACCGTGGCGTTTCTCGCCATGCCAACTCAGGCACCTGATCGCCGACCGACCGACCGATCGCCGCCTGCACACCGTGCAATGCCTGGACCTCAGATACGCAACCAGTTCGAACGACAACAAAGGATAACCTTTTGTTACGACTAAAACTGGTGGCCAAAAAGGGGGGAAAGACTAAGGTTCACCTTTGGCTATGACCAAAATTGATTGCGAAGAAGAGGGAAAGAACTAGAAGGTCAACTAAAAAGGGTGATAAATAAAACTGGTCGCCAAAAAGGGGGGCAAGACAAAAAGGTGAGAACAGGTCGACTCGCTTTCTGCCAAGGTACATGTTCACCCGGTGAGGCTCTAGGTACAACGCCGGCAGGGACCGATGCATTTGCGGTCGGGCGCCGAAGCCGCGGCTGAGCTCTGCGGTCGGGTCGAGGATGATCTCCACATCCTCATCCACCCTGACGTCGCTTGGATGTTTGACCTAGGTAATTAAGTGCGATATAACGATATAACTAGAAGGGGAACAGGGGATTTGGATGTTTGACTAGGTAAGTGGGCTGCAACTAGAAGGGGAACAGGGGATCTGCATGTTTTACGTAGCAAGTGACTCGCTGAAGCATGAATTGGATCCCCAAACCAAGGACCTTCATGGAAAGCTCAACTTGTTCTGAGGTGAGCTTGCCATACAATAGAGGCTTGGATGTTTGGCCTGACTTCGGGGCGAAAACCACGGCAAAAGCGTGCTGAAGGCTTTGGGGGTTGGATTCTGAGAAAGAACCGGCGAGATTCGCGGCATATTCTGTATCGGGGTTGTTGCAAAGGGAATCCCAAAATTGGTGCCTTTCCATTGGTCTGCTGCTTCAAGGGTCCCCACACACCCTCGAACAGACGCATACTCATATATACACACTTCCTAAGTGGGATGGGCAAGCAACAAGTCCAAATCTAATATGTTCTTCCCCAAAGAGTGTTTATAAGGGTTGAAGTACCTCGTGAGGATGTACCAAGCGACGTAGTTTTGACCCTTTACTTCCCAAGGTGCCAACCTGGAGTCTCCGAGCATGGGGTCATGTACTCAAGCATGGGGTCATCTACCCATGTTTGATTCGGGTCAGAAGAGCTGGGCGGTCCAAAATGATCGCCTGCTAAAGGCTTAACTTTTAGTGGCTTAGATGGAAGCCCTCACCAAATCCTAAAAAGCCAAATAAAATCTCAGGCTTAGATGGAAACCCCGACGAAAGCCCCCAGAAAACCCAACCAGCGCAAAAATATCGCCCGCCTGATCGTCGCGCAGGGCTTTGGCCTCACGCACCTCGGAGTGGGTCGCTCCAATCGCAATCTTCGGCGACTCGGCGGCGACTCGTCGTCCAGGAGGATGGGAATGGCCTCAGGGGTAGCTGCTACCATTGGTCAAAAGAGCTGGCAGAACATTGTAGTACGCTTGGTTGACGTTGGAAGGGGAGCAACAATTTAAAATTTAGCAGTTAAGTGGGAATTTCCCACTAAACCACAATAAGCAAAAATGTAAAATGTCTCCCAACAACAACCATGTACAGGAAGTCACCCCGAACCCTGGTATGTAGTTAGGTATCTGACTAATCACCGTCATGCTTCTATGAGTCAAGTCAAGCCATTGGAAGAATCGATTGAGGAAGCAATACCTTCCACAGCTAGCGAAACTCTTCAATCCAAAGTCTCAAAACTTACAACTTGGTCGACCTTCAACCCTAAACCTAGCACTTAAGTGATTTTGCATCTGTATCAATTTGGCCAACAACAAACATGTAAGATGGTCCCAAACGCCCAATTCTCCCCTTAAAATATATATTACATAAAGTAAAGCTTAAAACACCAAACTCTTTGGGTTGTAGTTCTCACATTTTGTTCTATCAAAGTCAACCAATCCCTCTTTGATCATAGCCAACCAAGCATCTCTTTTCCGGGTCAAAACCGGGCTCAGCGTTCCGTGGGCACCCATCGGATCGCCTCAAAGTCCACCTGCTGCGCATCCGGCGCTACGAAGCCCATGGCGCCGCAGTCCGACGCTTTGGGTCCGGCAGACGAAGGTTTGGTCTGGTGGAACTGTTGTGGAGGGAATGCCCCCAAAAAGGAAAAACAAGTGGGTGCTTCTCAAAATGAGTTGGAAACCTTCAGGTGTGTTTCCTTTTGGTGTCCCTTTGAAGCCATCCAAAAAGGGTTCCACAATTTTGCCCCAAGCGAAACAAAGAGGTAAGCTAAGCCTGGCAATGTCGCAAACTTGGTGAGAAACTTGCTTGCTTGACTTCTCATGACGAACATGTTCCTCCAGGCTCCATGTTTGGCTCGGGTCTTTGACGGCCAAAGGAAAATAACAACATGAAGGGGCGACGGCCAACTCACTTTGGATTCAAAGCTGCCACAAGCTCGCTCGTGTCCATGGACTGCCCCAGAACCAGCCCTTCAAGCCAGAGTTGCAAGAGGTCGGCCGCCGCATTTTTCGGTTTAAGCTGGTGACTGCACGGTAACCTTTGCCCATGACATAGCACTGGACCGTGTAAACAAAAGCAAGCGGCACACCCGAAGTCCAGTTGGTGACTGATCTGGTCTTGCCATTAGATCTGTTGCACAGGCGAAGGTTCCAGCAGCCGAAATATCAATGCTGCTTTTTGCATGGGCTTGGTGCTGGCATGGGCCTGGGCGAACAAGAGTCAGAGCAGCAAAAGGTGCCGTTTCTTCTAGGGGCCTGAATAACTGTCGGCCTTTGTACCAACAAGTATGGAACCCGAACTTGGTAAGTCCAACTGGTTTGGTCTTTGAGCCCCTCAAAGCGCTTGCAACAAGTTGAGCTCGTAGCTTCTTGGCGTAAACACAGGCAGCTTGCAAACAATTCCAAGGATGAAACGTAGAGCCAAAGACTAGCTTCCTAGGTGGATTGGCAGAAACCCACAGTCCAAACTGTTTGGTTGCCGGAGCTGTCTTCCCAAAAGGGCCAAAGTGCCACACTCGCGGAGTGAGAGTGCGAAGATTCGAGCAGCATGCGCCTGGGTGCCCCCACAATGTCTAGGGGCGACTGGTCCTCAGCTCGGCTCCATCCGGCGCGGTACGCCCAGGTGGAAGGAGGCTCAAGGCTCTTTCGAAGACGGCCCGTTTAGGTACCTGGAGTCTCCACGACCCGCATCAAAAATGGTTGGCCATTAAAGCAATGGGGTCATGGACCCATTTTTAAAGGGTCAGAAGGAGACTCCTGCTTCCTCAACAAAACTCAACCCAACACAGTTGATACCCGTGGGGCTTGAGTCATGGCCAGACTCCCCGAGCTGAACGTCGAAGGTCGCCCATGGCCGTGTGACACAAACTGATCACTTTGCCTCACCTCCATTTGCTTAAGTCCCCTGGACAAAACAAATATATATATATATATATATGTAAAAAAGAAGAACAAAACAACAGTAGTGATAGATTCCCTTTACAACCAACCGGGGAAGATAAAATGAAAAAATACAAAATCTTAACCATAATGGAAGCTCCTGGCTGGGTGCGACAGCTTGATCCGAAGCATTCAGAGCCCAAGAGCCCCAGAGTTGCTTGGCGCATGGCTTTTTCGTCAGCTGGACGTGTCAGCTGGATCTGGGTGAACTACAAGTGAGAAATCCCCGATAAAACCAAAAAACACCCCATAGTAAGAAATAGGTTGGTTTGTTCATCCGGGGTCAGCATTGATATTTTGGGTGAAAAGGGGGCAATCCAGGAACCACCTTCCGCCAACTCAACATTTTGTGAGGGGGTCAAAAAAATATGAAACATGCGTTTTCCTGGCGAATTGTTTCATATTTCACCAACCTGAAACTTGCGGTGGTTGGGGGATACTCCCCACATAAACCACCATTTGCGGTGAATGAGGTCGTGTGAGGTCCTTATAATTCACCCAGAGGGGATTGCTCCTTGCAGGTCCCAATAAAAAGAATAAACATGGAACTAAAAAAGCAGTATTCGTAGCGTAGCCTCCTTTTGGGGGAACCCCCCCCCTTTTGGGTTCCATGTTCATTCGTAGAGGAGTAATTGTTCTGATCTACATCTGTTGAATGGAGTCTGACTTGGCAAGCAGGGTGGCTTGCAAACTCAGGGCCATGATAACACCGAGTTGTTGCATGGAGTATCGCAACCAACAAGAAATGCGATAGGGTTCTTGGATTCGTCCAAGTCAATATCCAAGTTGTCATGGGCCGCTGATACATTGGCATTGAGAACAACAAACGACAAACGTTTGGATCCCTGACAAATATCCCCAAGGATCAATCAAAAAGGCACTCCTGGAACAATGGAATCCCAATGGAACCAAGAGGCTGAGCCGAGATTCGTATTTCTTCAGGCGTCAATCTGTCGGAAGTGGCAACGGTCCAAAACAAATGCGAGGAAGCAAACCACTGGCTGCAAGTTCACCCCCCTTCCAAACAAGTTGAAGAAAAAGCAACCCACTGGGCGTCTAAATTCATTACACCAGTCCGAGAGGCCCCAGTGTCACCGCATTTGGAACCGCCTCAGAGCGAATCTGTGGCGCGGACGACGAATGCGGGAACCACGGCGACCGGCTGTTTCCACGGTGGCAGTTGCAAACCACTTGCAACACGCATGCAGAAGCATACGCACTTAAAACGGGGCTCTTCAGTACGTCACCGTGTTTCCGCACAAAACGAGGAACCTCGGAAACATGGCCTGGTTCTTTAGGGTTCCCATTCACCATAGGGGTTCCTAGTACTAGTGACACATTGTACCGAACTCGCAGTTGCAGGCACCGGAACCTAGGACTATCAAGCAGGGCCCCACCGGAGTTGGGACTTGAGCATTCACTTCTTGATGACAAAGCAGCAACACAAATGGTTGTGACTGGGGAGCATTGCCAAACGCACGCGGCATCCAAGGGTCCAACTGCTGGCTGGAGCATCTTGAAGTTGTGTGAACATTCAACATCTGCTGAAAATTGTCAGCCGCGTACTGACACCATTTCCCGACGCGTGATATATCTACCAGTCACCTTGTGAAGCAAACACAGCCCCCACGCCACAAAAGAAGTGCTTGCAAAGACGCTCCCCTCTTTCCAACAATTATGGAAGTGGGGAGGGGTGGGAGCTCGCTTTAGATGTGTTTGTTCAAGGCAAGTCGAAAGGATTTCCAGCACTTTCCAAGGTCCAAATTGTTTTAGGACCCAGCCAGTTGTTGTTGGCAGCAGTGACACGCAGTGACAACATCCTCAAATTCCGTGTGGCTTTGTCGAGCTCTCTCTGGCCATCGATTCTGTGATGATGCCCACTCTGTGAGGCTTAATGTATGAGTGATAATCAACATCCAGTATAGGCATAAGAAGGTAATGTTAACCCAGGATTAATAAACCCGTCCCATTATTGGGGGGGGTGTTCCCTCCAAAAGTGATGAATCCCCACTAAAAGGGGACCCCCCCTATTAATCAACCGGAAGTTTATTCTACACCCAATAGTCTCACATTTCGTTTGGCAACCCCTCACGCTTCAACGGTCAGTTCCATAGGCTTGGTTGGTGACCCGACGACTCGGGCAAGTGGATAGCTGCGGATAGGCCCTTGGCCGCAAGGGAAGCTGCTGTCTGATTCTTAAACCGGCTTCAAAGTCAGCTTCCCACGAATTGGTGATGTGGAGTGGTGGTTTAGTAGTTAAGGGGGGGTTGTTAAGGACAGGAGCCAGGGCCTCAAACCACCAATCCAAATCACCAATCGGGGGTTACCTGACAAGGGTTGCCTGTTGCTCATTGGAACATAGTTGCTGTAAACAAAAAGTGCCCTGCTCCTTTGCCCACTGACAGCCAGAGACGCACCCAGCCTTCCAATGTGCCAAGAGGCTAAGCTTCGACCAGCTCGCCTGGTCGGCATAAGTCCACGGCGGCCCCTCGCGCAAGGATTCAGCGCTTTTGTTTCTGTGTTTGTTTGTTTGTTTGTTTGTGTGGTTGGTTGTTTGTTTGTTTGATTGTTTGTTTGTTTGTGTGTTTGTGTGTTTGTTTGTTTGTTTGTTTGTTTGTTTGTTTGTTTGTTTGTTTGTTTGTTTGTTTGTTTGTTTGTTTGTTTTTTGTTTGATTGATTGATTGATGGTTTGTTTCTGTGTTTGTGTGTGTGTGTGTTTGTTTGTTTGTTTGTTTGCTTGTTTGTGTTTGTTTGCTTGCTTGTTTGTTTGATTGTTCGTTTGTTTGTTTGTTGGTTCGTTCGTTCGTTCGTTTGTTTGTGCGTTTGTTTGTTTGTTTGTGTGTGTGTGTGTGTGTTTGTTTGTTTGTTTGCTCGATTGTTTGATTGGTTGCGTGTATGTTTGTTTGTGTGTTTGTGTGTTTGTGTGTTTGTGTGTTTGTGTGTTTGCTTGTTTGGTTGGTTGTTTGATTGCTTGTTTGATTGGTTGTTTGCTTGTTTGTTTGTTTGTTTGCTTGTTTGTTTGTTTGTTTTTTTGTTTGTTCGTTCGTTCGTTGGTTGGTTGGTTGGTTGGTTGGTGTTGTGTCTGTGATTGTTTAGCGCAGCCTTTCAGGCTGGCTTGAGCGGAAGCCACAAGAACACCAACCATTTTTGGGTCCCCGCATTGTGAGATGCAAAGCTTTAAAGCGGCTTGGACAGTCAAAAGCCGCGCAAACTGCAAGACCCCGAAGCCGACGTCTTCATCTTGTTGGCACAACAAAAAGCCAAACCGCTCCTGCAACAAGGCCTCCTGTTGCCTTCTTGGCACTCTGGTGGGAGATGAGTATGGTTCCAAGTTAGCGAGCCCCAGTTCTCCCAGCACTAACCAGGGTTTTGACCCACCTACTGCAGTTGGGTGAAATAAAATGGCACAATTCCATCTTGGTCTAGCCATCCCCGTTTCCTGCAAGGCAATTCTGCTATCGATTTTCGCGCTTTGTGCACCTGGAGTCTCCTCTCTAACCCTTCAAACATCGGGTCATGACCCCTGGTCTTTAGGAATGACACCATCTTTAAAAAGTCAAAAGGAGACCCAGATACCTTTGGGTAGATGACTATCCATTTGCCACAGGTCAGAAGGAGACCC